ATGCTTCTTCGCGAAGCGCAAAAACCTACCCTATTCTGGCTGGGGAGTCTGGTACCCTTCAGGCGTTCTTCTTGGGGTTGTGCCTTTCGTCGGCCCAGACACACAGCTGCAATGTGCCCTAGTTTGCCGCATGCCCGGCAGGTAGCGGAGCGGAACTTGCAGTCGGTTCTCCTGTGGCGACCTCCACAGCCGATGCACTTGAGCAGAGCCGAAGAGCTTCCCTTCTGGTTTCCTTCCTTCGCGGGGTGTAGACGGTCGACTTCCTCGTCCGGATCCTCCTCGGAGTTTCGTTGGACGTCTTCCTGGTGCACGGACGCACCCTCTGCACTGCTTCTGATCGGCCGCATGTTCTTGACGGCGCCGCCTGCTGCTTCTTCTGCGGTGACTTCCCTTAAGGCGTCTTGGAAGGATAATTCTTCCTTAGCGAAAAGTCTCTGTTGTAGCTCTCGATGCCTTAACCCGCACACGAATCGGTCCCTCAGTCTTCCTCGAGGTCCTTGAACTCGCAGGGCTTGGCGGCCTTCCGTAACGCGGCGATGTATTCCTTGGCTGACTCACCGGACCGTTGATCCCTCTGTTCGAAGGTGTGGCGCCATGAGATAACGGACACCTTGGGGTGGAAGTGCTCCTTCAGCAGCTTCTTCAGGTCTGCGTAGCTTACAGACTCTACTGGGACAGGTGCTGCAAGGTTTTCTGCGATTTCGAAGGCGTCTTGGCCGCAAACGCAAAGCAGGGTGGCAGCCTTCAAGCTTCTTCCGTCACTTGGTTTGCCTTGAAGTAGTTCTCCATTCTGGATACGTAGGACTCCCACCGCTCTGGATGTGAGACGTCGAATTCCGAAAGCCTTCCGATTTTCGCCATCTTCGGATCTTCAGGAGACGGGTCTATCAGCCAGCCTACCCCCGAATGCGCACCGGATTGGCGGGCAGCTGCCGAGTCGACGCCGTTCCTCTTCCGCCGCTCAGGACTCCTGGGTAAGCTTACACTTTTTCCTTTCCAGGTAGTGCAAGGCATCCCACCCTCGTCGCCAGTGTTGAGTCCTTGGCGGGAAAACAGACACGAGAAGCAGCTGGAGTTCTCAGTTTCTTTTATTCAGCGTTCAGCTTACAGGAAGATGGCTTCAGCCTCGCCCAAACGCCTCGCAGCCTCTTATATAGGCAACTCCCGGGTAAATGGGTTACTTTTCCCGCGCCAGCACCCGCGCATGCGCACGGCGCTGGCGACAGCCTGTCTGGTCCCGGGCAGCTTTGCACCTGCCCGGGACTGCCTGCAAACGCCCGAGCCGTTTGCAAGGCTCGGGACATAACAATCACATGAAGTATTAATACCACTTTACAATGCCTTGGTAAGGCCACACTTGGAATACTGCATCCAGTTTTGGTCACCATGATGTAAAAAAGATGTTGAGACTCTAGAAAGAGTACAGAGAAGAGCAACAATAAGGAACGGTTGCTGGAATTGGGTATGTCTAGTTTAATGAAGTGAAGGACGAGGGGGACATGATAGCAGTGTTCCAATATCTCGGGCTGCCACAAAGAAGAGGTAGGCAAGCTATTTTCCAAAGCGCCTGAAGGCAGGACAAGGAGCAACGGGTGGAAACTAACCAAAGAGAGAAGCAACCTAGAACTAAGGAGAAACTTCCTAACAGTTAGAACAATAAACCAGTGGAACATCCTGCCTGAGCAGGGGATTGGACTAGATGACCTCCAAGGTCCCTTCCAACTTTATTATTATTATTATTATTATTATAACTTGGTATTTAAAGAAGGAACTATGTCTTATGTCTCATACTTATAAAACATAAAAAATACTTCTGCTGGATCTATGAATATAACTCAGCTCTCTGTTTCATATTAACTGGCTCACCCAACATACCAACTAGTAAACCACAGTGGGTTTGCATAAAGCTAAAATTAAACCACATTGTGGCTTAGCAAACACATGCAAAATGGCCAGGTAGAACACCAATTGCCTTTAAAAAGAGTAATGTAACATTTATCACTATGGCTCCTGGCATACTGTTTTTATAATTTGATATTCCGTATAAAATTACGAATAGCATCCATAGATAATTCACTATGTTGTCTAATTATCCTGTTGAATCATCCCAAAAAATAGATACTTGAATGCTGAGATGAGAACTTCTGAGAATACATTTTTGAGAGAGATGGTGACTTTTCACACTTGCTGTTTCTTTTGTTCTGCTTGGATGTTGGTGGTACCAACTCTTCTCCTCAAACGCATATACAAATTTTCTGTGTACACCTGTTCAGGGACATATACAAATTTTCTGTGTACACCTAGAACTGTCAAAATATGGAGTTCCAATGGAGGCATGGTGAACTAAACATGCCTCCCTAGAGAATGGAGATGAAGACCAAAGCAAAGATGGAAGAACCAGTGAGTAAAGCGGTTCTTTGGAGCATATTTGGATAAAGAAAGGACAGAAGATCACCAACATGCTCCAGATGGCTGTTCCTCTGGAGGAGACCACAGGATAGATGTCTCCCATGGGTCTGAATGCCAGGAGAGGAAGTAAAGTAAATAAAAGGAAGTATAAAGTTATTTAGTTGATCAAGGTTAAAATAAGGTATGTTTTTTTATCAAATTTTGGCAACTCTTTACAGGCTTCTTGTTGATATCAGAATTAAAAAGTTGATATTTTATGGATTTGCTTACAGATAAAGGATGAGTTAAGGGAAGAAGAAATATCTGTTGGAAAATCTGTAGGGGTAAAGAGCTACTGTCTTCCTTTCTGTGTCTGAGATGAGTTTTTATTACTATAACTAAGCGTTTTCAGTAAAATTGTGTGCGTTTCCTTACTGTACACATACATAGAAATACGATATACAACTGATGTATATTACATGTTTCACAAAAGTGGATAATAATTAGCTCATTTTAGTCACATGTTTTTAAACATACGCATTTATTTTTATCAAATACAAAATAATCATGTTACACAAAATCACTCGGATAATGTCTTTCTTCATAGCATGAGGAAAGGCAGTCTGATGTACAACCCTGCTTTCTTCTTTCTGACTCATCAGCCTTATTTCATAAAACGTCTCTGAATCAGTAATCTGAAAGATAGTTCTGGGCTGCTGAGAAAAGAAAGGAGCCCTCTCTGGGAAATTTACATTTAACCCCTACATCAAAAGCAATAAATAGACAATTTAGATCACAGGTTACCAGAATAGAATAACAGAACAACAGAGTTGGAAGGGACTTTGGAGGTCATCTAGTCCAACCCCCTGCTCAACCAGGAGACCCTGTACCAGGGCTTTTCAATCAGTGGTACGAATACCACCTGTGGTACATTGGCACCTGGCAGGTGGTACGCGACAATCCTAGAAAAGTGGTAGCGGGGGAGGGGAATGAGCTGAACCGATGGCAGCACTGCACAAGCCTGAGCAAGAGATGGCTGGAGCTGCAGGGTTGTCAGGGCTCAGTGGAAGTACCAGGATCAGCACCAGGCTACAGGTGGAGCTTGGCGCTGATCCTGACGCTTCTGCTAAGCCCAGAAAAAGCGCTGATCAGCTGGAATGTTGCAGCATCTCCAGGGTCTTGTGATTTACATTCAGATGCTTGCCAACTGATTCATATTTATGACGGTCACAGTGTCCCAGGGTCATGTGAAGTGACCAAAAACTGCTGCAACCACCCAGCAGACGGGGGAATAAAAACCAAACACCCCCCCACCCCACCCCCACTGCCAATCCTCAACAGAAATGCTTACAACAATGAAAACCTTGGACAGGAGGAAGAGTGCGGCCAGGCGGGCAGGCAGGCGTCTTGCTCGGCTGTCCCTTGGGGGACACTTTTTTCAGTGCCATTGTAACTTCGAACAGTCACTAAGCAAACTGTTGTAAGTTGAGGACTACCTGTACTTTATCACTTTTTTCCTTTTTTTTTTTTTGGTCATCAGGTTTTTGACACCTGTAGGCGACTGGTGGTACTCGGATGTTGCCATATCCTAAAAGTGGTACAATGGGTGAAAAGGTTGAAAAGCCTTGCCCTGTACCATTTCAGACAAATGGTTGTCCTGACTCTTCTTAAAAACCTCCAGGGTTAGAGCACCCACAGCTTCTGAAGGCAAGCTATTCCACTGATTGTTTTCACTGTCAAGAAATTGCTTCTTAGTTCTAGATTGGTTCTCTCTTTGATTATTTTCCATCCACTGCTTCTTGTTGTGCCTTTAGGTGCTTTGGACAAGAAGTTGACCCTCCCCCCCCTTCTTTGTGGCAGCCCTTTAGATATTGGAACATTGCTATCATTATCACCCCTAGTCCTTCTTTTCATTGAACTAGACATACCCAATTCCTCCAACTATTCTTCATATGTTTTAGCCTCAGCCCCCCTACCAATGGGGTCTTCTATGCAGGAACAGTAAGCTGAGCAGAGGAGGCGGGTTTAAACATCAATTTCAAGGTGGCCAAATGGTTGTAGTTGATGTTTAACCTTAGTGAAGTGAAACATAGTTTACAGGTAGTTCTTGACTTATAACCACAATTGGGATCAGGAAATTTTCATTGAGTGGTACATTTATTATGCGAGGGATCACATGATTGCACCTGATTTTACCTTTTTAGCCACAGTGGTTAAGCAACATGCTGCAGTTGTTAAGCAAGACCTCATGTGATCATGATTTGTGACATTCTTCGCTGGCTTCCCTACTGACTGCTTGTGGGAAACCAGCTAGGAAGGTCACAAATAGTGATCGCATGGTGCTGAGACAGTGCAGTGCTCATAAATACCTGCCAGTTGCCAAGTGCCTGCATAGCATTCTAGTACCGTGAGGCCACTGCACTAGACATAAGTACAGCATAAAATAAATCACTTTTTTCAGTGCCATTGTATCTTCAAATGATCGCTAAATGAATAGTCGTAAGTCAAGGACTACCTGTAAGTTAATCATACCACCTGGTTCATATAACTTGTGCATGTAAAATGTAGACGAGTCTATACGTATTAGGGTTTGTAAAAATCAATCTCAGACAGAATATTTGACTTTCTTTTATGTACCCATTTTATATCACAGAATCTATGTGAAAACAATTAAATCAATTTACATATCAACAAATTAAAAATGTAACATAACATTCTTTTTTTTTTTAAAAAAAAAAGTGTGCCATTTGCATATTAGAAAATAATGCCAAAGGACTCCAATGAGTAATAATAATATTATGGTACTGAAAATGTTTTGGCCTTATTTTAGGTCCAGCCTTGGGTCAAAACTATTTCAGTAAAAATAACAAAAGACGTTTCCAGTGTTTTAAATTCACAGTACATTCATAGTAAAAACTCCCATCACCATTACCAAACATATTCTTCAAGATAAAACACAAATAGTCTGTTTTTACAAAAAACCTTTAAAAATCTGCATTATTAAAAACCAGATTTGCAGCATAGCTGATAAATCTTATTTATATATTTGGAAAAAAAACAACTCCATTAATCATAGGTTCCCCAATGGTTGGGGTCATTAGATATATTGTAATTTGGGAAGGAAATGGTACATTTCTGGTTGCCCTGAAGGGCAAAATGGCTGTTCACCAAAGAGATGCCACTGGATACAGTACAAAAACCAAATGGGTGAGGAATCTGAAAGATACCGAAGAAAAAGTCTAGTGGCTATACCTATATATCATGTTCTTAGCAACGTATTTCTCACTACCACCTTGATTCATCTGTAGTCAACATAGCTCTTCTTAATCCAGAGGGCTTTTGCTCCTCTAGAGGGCTAAACATTTCATAGGAAATTGTCTCATTTAACTTCATGGGACTTCAAAACAGAAGACATACGATTGCACCATGGTTAAGAATACAGCTGTAAGTGCTGGATATTTTATTAATAATCCTGAACACTTTTCTCTCTCACGTTTTCTTTATTGGAAAACTGAAATCTGTTTCTTTATCTGGTCACATTTAAGGTGCAAATATTCTAAAGGTATATCTTAAACTTGCAGTAAAATGCCGATTGGGACCGATAAAACTAGCTGAGCTGTACTCCTTAGCAGAGATTGAGAAGATGGTTTGTTCCAACATCTTGAATTACTTTGAGATCAGAAGGAATACTTGAAATGGGTTTCTTGAAAGGTCATTCAGACCAATTCCCAAATCTCATTACAGCAAAATTGCACCAGATATTATTTTCATGTCATGCTTAATTGGTGCGTTCCTACAAGCCCAGATGTTTCTTTGTCATTTAATCTCCTCTACTGCTGCTCAGCTTCCTCCCTGGTTCCAAAACATTCCAACTTTTAAAAGCACATATACTCTCACCTTAAAACTTTCATACCACTTTAGTAGTTTTTACTAGATCGATTCAAATAGATTTAGAAGAAAATAGAGCAAACTTCCTTTTTTAAATAAAAGTTTTCCAGAACTGCTTTCTTCATAATTTTGAATTATTAGTATGCATTGGCAGGACTGCCACATTGCCTTTCTTTTTGCTTGTATGTTACATTCTTAAAAGTTGTTGTGGAGCCTTTGTAGAGGGGGTTTGTTCCCTAGAAAAGAAGAAAAACACTATATGTAACAGAATATTTCACATCTGATTTTGTAGCTTAATTAAGCAGACCTAACATACCAACTGATTTTGGGGGGAATATGATTCATTCATAATCTGCTGAACAATGTGGCTTTAAGAAAAAGCCTTTCACGGTCTTCACAAATACTCAATATTGATTTAAAAATTATTAAAACCAAACAGTAATATGGACGTAGCTAGACCTTATCTATTCCTGTTATTTTGTCACAATAATTAAACAGCAAAATCTTAAACTGAGCCTCTTGACACTAAAAACTGTTCACAATGAAGAGCAAAATGGATCTTTCTTTTCATTCCCATTGTTGTTTGCACACCATTGCCTGGGAAGCAACAGGTATGGGATGGTGGGAATCAGCCACTCAGCAATAGCAATTAAAAACAAAAAACAACAACAACTGGTGCAGGCTTTCATGTCCAGTATCTGTTGGGCAGTGTTGAGCTTCAGGGTTTAGTGCTTTGGTCTATGTAACAGATTTCCTGATGTTCTATGAGCAACCAGCTCCGTTGAAGACCTATCAGAAGTCAAGTTACCAAGACAGAAGCCCAGTCCGTGCCTGCATAGCAGACCACTTTGCTGGCAAAATGTCAGGAATTCTGTTGTCTAGACCACAGTCGCTAAACCCTGTAATCCAACCTGCCCCAAAGAACTGAAAATATAGGCTGCAGTTGTAGCTGTTATAGCAACTGCCAACACTTAAAGAAGAGGAAAAACGGCCTTTGGGATTCTGGGGGCTCTTTAATCTCAGCCCCTTCTGCTGTGTAGCTGGATATGTGGGGAAGGTATTCTTGTGTGTGGTTGGGGCCTTTGTTGGCAAAGATCACATACATTTATACTAAACATTTTACAAGATGAAGCACTTTTTACAGCTACTGTGAATCCAATATAAATACTCATTTTTTTTAGAAACAATCTATATCAGGTTTGGTTTCTATTAATATTACTGACTTTTGCCATGTGTGGGGCAGTTTTATCACAGTATTGCAAGCCATTTTACATGGCTGTGAAGTGTGAGGTAGACATAATAGCAGGATATTGAGAATTCAATTTCTTGGGAATGATTGTAATGCATTCTTGCATCTGTCCAGCTGGAGGCATTATATCACCTGGGACTCTCAGACTTTGAAAAAGATTGAGTGTGGGAGATCTAGGGGTTCTAGGTTTATAAAACCATGCATGGCATAAAGTGGACAGGGATGTTTTTTGTCCTTTGTCATAACAATAGCCATTGATTACAGAAGATAGGAGATTTAGAATAGACAAAGGAAATTCTTCTTTGCATAGAACATAAGCAAATTTTGGATTTATTTTGGTATTAAACATGGTGATGGCCACTAGACTAATACTAATACTGATGATGATGATGATGTTGGAAGGGACCTTGGAGGTCATCTAGTCCAACCCCCTGCGCAGGCAGGAAACCCTATACCATTTCGGACAAATGGCTGTCCAGTCTCTTCTTAAAAACTTCCAGTGTTGGAGCATTCACCGCTTCTGGAGGCAGGTTGTTCCACTGGTTAATTGTTCTAACTTCAGGAAGTTTCTCCTTAGTTCTAGGTTGCTTCTCTCCTGGATTAGTTTCCATCCGTTGCTTCTTGTGATTATAGAAATTCATTGAGGACAGGTCTTATCAATGGCTACTGGATACCAAGGGTTCTTCTGTGTGGCAACATTAAAGCTGTTATTCAGCATGGAATTGGACGAAAGTTCTGCTGGCTTAAAGAACAGTGAACTGTGCTTGCAATCCTTAGTCACCCAATGTTGGCCACAAAGCACAACAAAGCACAAATTCAGGGGTAAGAGAGAGGTGGGGCAGAGAATTCTTTCTTTGATATCAGTCCTATTGCAACAAAGGAGCCATTGTCCCCTGTTTTTCTTCCCTTCTGTCTTCTGCTTCCAATTTCCTAGCTGGACAAGTCTGTTTCTAAGGGAAATGTCTCTCTGTCTATGTCTCCTTCTGTCTTTTTCTCTCCTAGCATTGGCATTAGGGTTAGGATTAAGATTAGAGTTAGTGTTCCTTGAAGTTCAGCCTAAAAGTCAATGTTAGATTAGGGTTAGGCTTCCCTGATGTCACAGCGAAAAGCCAATGTTAAGGTTAGAGTCAGGGTCAGGGTTGGCATTGACATTAGTGTTAGGAATAGAGTGAGTGCTAGGTTTAGAACTGGCATTAGGTTTAGGATTAGGTTTAGCCTAGGTGTTAGGCTTAATGTTGGGATTGGTGTTAGGATTTGAACTAGGATTAGTGTTTGGGTTAGAGTCAGATTTTGTATTGGCATTATAGTTTGAATTGGCATTAGCATAAAGATTAGGGTTAGTAATAGGGATAGGACTACTATTGAAGTTAGGGTTACTGTTAGTGTTAGCATTGGCTTTAGGGTTAGGATTGGTATTAGGGTTAAGGTTGTGGTTAGTGTTAGGATTAGGATTAGAGTGAGGGTTAGGGTTGGCATTAAGTTTAGGGCTAGGGTTAGCGTTAGATTCTGACTTCCCTGATGTCACAGCCAAAAAGCAACATTAAGATTAGGGACAGGGTTAGCGTTCAGGTTAGTGTTGGTTTTAGGGTTAGGATTATTGTGAGGTGAATTGGACTGAGTGAGAGAGATTTTAGCCAGCTTTATGTCTAAATGGGGCTATGACACACAGTCCCCTAGGCCAGCACTTTTACCACTACACCAAATTGGCTCTATTATGGTACAGTAGCAATTTTTATCTTGCAACTGTTTACAATAATATTGTCATGAATCTTGTTTTTTTTACATACTGTTTGCCATTTGGCCTTTGACCTCTCTGCTTCAAATTTAGCAACTTCTTTACGATCTTCAAATGAAATAAACAATTTCCACATGGAAAGTAATACAATCCCGGTGACAACTACTGCAGTAGAGACACCCAACATAATCATTGTAATATTTGGAGGTTGTGGGTAATCTGTAGAAAGAAAGTGTAAATAGTGAAAATTCTTAAATAAATAAATAGCTATTAATATGGGGGGGGGGAGAAATAAACATGCAGTATAGGTAATTGTTACTTCCACCTATAATCAGAATTCTGGAAATGTTGGAATGCAAAATTTGGAAAGTGTCAGAAAAAGTTGCTGTGAACTTTTTAGTTTTGTATAGATTTTGTTTAAAGATGGCTCAAATCCCAATGAGTTCTTCTGTACACACTCAGCATTGGCATGTATGAAAACTGCCTTATTCATCTAGGGAGGGATGAGCTATATATAAATCACTCACACATAAAAAGTAAGTGGGTCAGCCTTTGGGAGATCTAGAACAAATGAAAGATTGAACATACAATAGCTCAGCATTGACTAGCACATTCCTATTCTCCTTTATTTTGCCATATTTATGAATGACCACACGAAAAGACCTGCTTTAGGAGGCAAGCTACCTCTCACATTTCATTTTATTAAAATACGCTGACTTAGAATTTGGTAGCCATAAGCAGAAAGATACTGTAGAAGGAATTTGCTCATCAATCTTGAACTTTATGTGCCCAAACTCTCTTAACAATATTAAATGAAATGTAGGTACAGAGATTTTAATATTCTGTAGAAAAACTTTCAGGAAAGGGCTACAGGTAGTCCTTGACTTACAATCTTTCATTTAGTGACTGTTCAAAATTACAACAGCACTGAAAAAAGTGACTTACGACTGCTTTTTACACTTAGGACTGCTGCAACATCCCCATAATCAGGTGATCAATATTTGGATGCTGGGCAACTGGCTCATATTTATGACCATTGCAGTGTTCTGGGGTCATGTGATCACCTTTTGTGATCTTCTGCAAGCAAAGTCAATGGGGAAGCCAGATTCACATTACAACTGCGTTACCAACTTAACAACTGCTGTGATTCAGTTAACAACTTGTGGCAAGAAAGGTCATTAAAAAGGGCAAGATTCACTTAACAATTGTCTTGCTTAGCAGCAGAAATTTTGGGCTCAATTGTCGTAAGTTGAAGACTACCTGTAGGTGGGACAATCTTTTCTATAACTGCTATCTATCCTAAACCATATTTCTGAAACAGCCCTTTTTAGAACTAGATATACATTAGGAGGATATAGATTCAAGTACATCAAAATTTCTTAGCTTACTAAGATTAAAGGTCTTACCTTTTTGCTTTATGTTGTGAATGATGACTTTTCCCTGTTCATTAGCTGTCATCTGAAATGTGATAATAGATTCATTTTTCCCTTGTAACACACAACGAATCCATTTGTCTTCCATAATATCTGAGGATAAGGAAAAACCAATTTTACAGTTCAGAGAGAGACATATCAAGCAGTTCTTACGAAGATTAAACAGTTTCTAACATCAGGTTATTTTTTAACAGGCACTAAGAAACAAAACTGGAAATATACTAAAAGATTTGCAAATAATTGTTCTACCGTTGGGGGTTTCCTTGGGTTGTTGTTGTTTTTTTGTTACTCTTTGCATTGCTCAGATGATGAGGTCCAGGTGTTGCTAGTCTATGTGGACCATAAAGTTGGTAAAGAATGACCATTAAGTTGATCAAATATGGGAAATTTATTGAATTGGAAATGCTTCTAAGGAAGCTGCAAAAGCTATCAAGGGAATATAGTACAGGTGCTACTTGACTTACAACAGTTCATTTAGTGACTGTTCAAAGTTACAGCAGCACTGAAAAAAGTGATTTATGACCATTTTTCATACTTACAACCATTGCAGCATTGCCATAGTTACATGACTCAAATGCAGATGCTTGGCAACCAACTCGTATTTATGATGGTTGCAGTGTCCCAGGGTCCTGTGTAATCACCTTATGTGATCTTCTGACAAGCAAAGTCAATGGGGAAGCCAGATTCACTTTACAACTGTTACTAACTTAACAATTGTAATGGTTCACTTAACAGTTGTGGCAAGAAAGGCTGTAAAATGGGGGAAAAACTAACTTAACAAATGTCTTACTTTGCAACGGAAATTTTGGGCTCAATTGTGATCATAAGTTGAGGACTACATATAAACTTCATTAGAGTAAACATGGTGTCTTTATCTTTTCACTACTAGTAGAATGTCTAGATCGGGGTAGGCAACCATGGTCTAGATCACAGGTCGGCAACCTGCGGCTCCGGAGCCGCATGCGGCTCTTTGAGCCTTCCCCTGTGGCTCCCAGCCTCCTTTGCCTTCGCAGAGAGAGACAGAGACAGAGAAAGGAATTGCGCTTCCCTGCTTCTTTCTCTCTCTCTCTCTCTCTCTCTCTGTGTGTAGTGTGTGTGTGTGGCTCTTTGAGCCTTCCCCTGTGGCTCCCAGCCTCCTCTGCCTTCGCAGAGAGAGACAGAGAGAGGCAATTGCGCTTCCCTGCCCCCCCTCTCTCTGTCTCTCTCTCTCTCTGTCTCTCTGTCTGTGTGTGTGTGTGTAAAAGAGAGTGCACTCACAGTGTTCTCTGAGGAGCTGAAAAGCTTATTGGGCGGAGCTCCTCCTTTGCTGCGTCTCTGCAGGAAGCAGGAAGCAGGAAGGGCAGGAGAGAGCTAGCTAGCCCAGCTAGGCTGACTCAGGAATTCTGGGAGCTGAAGTCCATGAGTCATAAAAGAGACGAGGTTGCTTACCCCTGAGCTTGTTGCACAACAGCTTGAAGCTTGCCAGGTGAGCAGCAGATAGGAGGGGGGGGAGAAAGAGAGAAAGAGAGAGGGAGGGGGAGAGAGAGAGAGAGGAAAGAGAGAGAAAGAAAGAGAGTGGGAGAAGAGGAGTGGCAGACCAAGGGCAGATAGAGAGGGAGGGAGGGAGAAAGACAGAGAGAGAGAGACCCTTTTGACATCTAAAATGAAGATAACATTGCATATATCCTTTTTTTACCTGTGTGTGTATGTAATTTTATTCTCTTAAAGCATTAAAGCATTCTCTTGGTGATCATTGTTTTAATAGTATGGATATTCCCAAGAGTCATATTTTTACTTTTATTTTTAATGTGTGTGTGTGTGTGTGTATGTGTACACACACACACACACATAGACACACACACACACACACACCTATAATAAAGGTAAAGAAGGATATATGCAGTGTTATCTTCATTTTAGATATCAAAAGGGTTTTGCGGCTCCCGGTGTTTTGTTTTTGATGGGAAACGGGTCCAAGTGGCTCTTTGAGTGTTTTGGGTTGCCTACCCCTGGTCTAGATGCTGTTTCAGTGTACAGGATATTCCCTTATAAAGATACTAATCCTTTTCAAGAGGAATGCCATTTATTGCTGACAGAATGCTGCTGTTTAAAAAAAAAATAGCATCATGTACACATGTCTAATAACTAAAAAGAAATCATGATAGGAATAAAGAATGCACCTCAAGGTAACACAGATAAAATGTAAGGTATTCCCAGTTCAGTAATCAATGCTTTCATCTAAATTTCCTCAGGCACAATCCTTTTGATGTTTTTTCAAGCAGCTTAAAAAAGGTGGAATATGCATGAGGGAGCAGACAACATAAATAAGAATGAAATCTGAAAATGTAGACCCCCTAGGCCAATAATACCAGAGGCTCCATGTCTCATCAATATTACTCAAAATAATAATAATTGTTTCTGAATTTCCTGTGAAATCTATAGCTATGTTAGAAAAAGGATTCTACAGGGAGCCATTCCAAATAAAGTGATTTGTAAGTTTCACATTGCACCATAGCTTATCTGTATTTTTATAATATATGGCATTGTTCTCATTGCCTATATCTACATTATATATATTTTTCAGAATAAGCTTTCATCCAAGTTATCAACCATATAGACATTTTATTAAAGTAAGCAGGATATGTTTTTGGAAAAGTGAATAGGAAATAGTTGTTTAATTCCCCCCCCCCTCCTTTTTAAAATGTTATTTCCCCAGGGAATAGGATTTTTTCTAAGCTATTCTAAAGACACCCCACCACCACCACCAGTTTTTCTGGAAGAGGTAGTATATTAGTCCTGTGAAACAAAAACAAGCAGATGTTTTCTAATACCAGAAGTAAAACCATTTTTTTTTAAAAAAGAGATAACTTAAAAAACCAGAAGACTTCATTGCTTTAGCAACGTCAGGCTTGTATTTGTTCTCTTCACACTAGTTTTTTTTTGTTTATAAATTATGCTGATCCAATTAAATAGTTGAGTATAATATCCTGTAACAGGTATATAACATGATATGCAGGTCATATAAACACTCACAAGGTTATTTTACACCAAGCAGTTTCTGTTTCCAAATATTCTCAAGCTCTAAAATAATACTTTTTGTCACACCCACCATATTTAAAAATTTACATACCAGCACAACAGAATGCATATATTTTTGGCTTGTTTCCATTTTTGAAATTATGCTTTGCTATGCTCTTAGCAATATGTGGCAATCAGTTTCAAATTGCAGTTGGTCTAGCAACTGATCTGGATGTTGCACATTATTATATCTGTCTGAATTAAAAGTGAGCTCATGTCTGCAGAGTATGGATAGCAACTTTGATTGTTTTGCCTGTGATCAACCGTTACAGTTACCTTTAGTGTTCATAGTGATCTCACATAGCAATAAAAAGTTCTCCTTTTTCTCATCATTTAGATAATTTAGAGCAGGGGTACCCAACCCCCCAATCCATCGACCAGTACCAGGCCGTGGTATGCCAGCAACCAGTCCACACAAACAAGCAAAGCCCCATCCAAAGGATGCAGGCAGCACACAAAACCACGCCCCCTTTGGTCCATGGAAAAACCTCTCTCCACGTAACTGGTCCCTGGTGCCCAAAAGGTTGGGGACCTCTGATTTAGAGAATTATATTTCTTGATTGACAGCTTAAGGTCATATTTGTCTGGGAATCTCTATTGACATCATTAATATAAGAACTGAGGAATTTAGCTTACATAATTTGAAATGCCCCCTAAATTGTGAAGGATCTCAAGAGAGTAGACAAACATCTAATTTGGAGGTATTATATTATATACAATATAACAAAGATGTATATTATAAAACCCATCTATTTCAGGTACCATGGAACATCATTTTTAAGGAGGCTGTCACTAGATAACTTAAGCGACAGTGGAACACAATACTGGAATCTTTTTGTACACTATAAAACACAGTAGCCTCAGGATATTAAAGTTCAGTGTGTTTGGATTAAGATTTACTGAACGGCTGGCTGTTATGGCTGCTGGCACCAGAACTAGATTACCTTTTTAAAAAAGCAGCTATCATGTAGATTGGAACCAAGAGGATCTTTCAATCTGTCTGGTCAGATAAATAAGGGTGGCTTATCTCTTTCCTATGCAAAGCATCAATGTCCATCTCCCCAGAGGAGAGGGTGACTTAGCTGAAACTTTCCAGAAAGTCAGCACATCGTGGCTGAATTGGATCTTTTTTATTACACAAGAAAGTGAAAGCCACAGACAGTCTCGGATTATTAAGGCCGATTCCTATATTTATATTTTCCCTGAATTAAAAATCTATATCCTCTTCTCATATTTCCCCCTGTGTTAGAATGGCTCGCTAGTAAATGTCCATTCCTGGTTTATCTCCTTTGCATTTGTATCTGGGAATCTATTGCAAGAAATGTAACCACTGATGCCAAAGATAACTTCTGAGACAACCTCCAGATGCCCCCGATGGAATAATTCAAGTAGGGTAGCTAGCCCTGAAACTTTGGCTTGGTATTATGTTTGTTGGGCATCAAATGCATACATCAAACTGCTATTGCCATGTATTCTGATTTCATTCTGTGCATCTTTTAATTTGTATTATTTATTTTCTTATTCTTACATTTAATGGTTTTGACTTTTACATTGTGGGAGAGTTTCAACTGTTTAGGTGGTTTAGAAATATATATCAATAAACACACACACACACACACACACACACACAATGAAAATTTGCTTTGTTCCCTTTTTCTTTCTCACTAATACCCAGCTGAATTCTGGTCAATCTGGGATGCTGAGAAGAAAATATTTATTGTTTGAAACATGGAAATAAAATCCTGAGAATCGGCCAGTAAAGAGAGATTGAGAAGGGAGGAAGAGCAAGTAAGAGTAGATGTAATAGCTTCTTTCCCATCTTTTATGTTGAATTGAGTTTTCTATGTACTTCTCCCTTTAGTAACAATCCAGCTTCACAGCCAAGGATGTTCATAGCACAGAGATAGGAAAAAACAGGACCAGACTGATTATTAGGAAGAATAGTGCAACTACTTGATGCAAATGTATTCTGAACACAGTTACTGATTCTTATTATTTTTTCAGCTATTCAGCTATACTTAGTATGCAATCCATCCTTGGATATCTATTCCTACTCTGTTGTCTCAGGTGTGGAGGACACTATTTTATCTTATCAACACAGTTAATTAAAAAAAACCCTCAATTGTCAGTCTTGTCATCTTTTGTAAGGCAGACTGAAGAGAGTAGACAACATTGAAGCCATTACATCTTCACTTTCATTGTGATAAATTGCAAATAAATCACAGAAGAGCATCAACAAACAGACAAGCAAATGCAGTACTGGAGCCCTGACCCTGAGTAGCTTTAGCCTAATACTATTGAAAAATTTCCAAGAGGGACAATTGAAAATATACATCTAATCATATAACCTATGCACATACCACACACACACACACACACACACACACACACACACACACACACACACATCCCATGCAAGCAGCAAGACCTAGTTAAACCTATTGCTACACCTAATAATAGCGAAGCAATAAAGTACACACCTTCATCATGACTGATCATTGCATCAACCAATTTACATTTTTCAGCGCAGTCTTCCTCATGCGTTAGATCAGCAGAAGCTAGATAACATTCCACACAGCTCCTGAGAAAGATGGTGCAATGATTTATCAATCTCTTTTGCATTAAGAATAAAAAGAGAATACATACACAGCCACCATTTTTTAAAGTACCTTCTGAAATATCTGCAGTAGTGAATAAGTAATTCTCAGCATTTAGAATGTACCACACAGAAAAGGAAATTAAAAAAAAATCTGGTGGTAAAAATAACCCTTACCCCTTTTCTCTCTTTGGATGCTCACCAGATAAAAAATAGCTTCTCATGGGAACCATGAGAATTATTTTGGTTATCTAGGCTCATAACAATGATGAGCGAGTTTTACAGTTTTAGAAGCTGGACACTGGAGGGGTCTAGAGAATCTAAGAAGAAGAAAAAAAATGCAAGTCTGCCTTTGTGTTGATTAACTTGGATATACCAAATGATATAAACCATCATAACACTGGAAATATCAAAGGAGATTATTGAAGGATGGAGCTACAATTTAGTAGCTGCAGTGCCAAAAGTGTCAATAGTGATATCTGATTCTATGGATAAACTATATCCAACAGGTGGTAATGAAGGAGCGACAGATGTAGAGCAAATTTTGTTTGACAAGGTATAGAAAGTACAGAAGGTAGAATTACAAAGGACAGGCCAAGAAAATGATTTGGGAAAGGATGTTTTATTGGATATACAAAATAAATTGGCTGAAGTTTTAAAAATGAAAGGGAGAGTACAAATAATAAACAAAGAGAGTGACCTGGAAAATGGTTTCTTATTTGCTCTACAAACAGGCATATTAATCTTTGAAGACGTCTGCGTGATGGGATAAAGAATTGAAAACACTTCCGGTGGTTCCAGCGACGACGAATGGCGGCGTTTTACAAAGCCGCCCGTTCCTGGTGCGTGTAAAAGCCGCGGGACTTTGACAATCAGCTGTCCCGCGGCTTGAATCTCCTCCCTGGGAAAAAGGGAGGAGGAGAGCTCTCAGGTAGAGGTAAGAGCTCCCCTGGATTCCTGTTATTTTGGGGATCGGAGGGTAGAGCTCCCTCGGAGCCTGAGCAACTCCGCGTTCCAGGGAGACTTCATTCCGAAGTTTTTGGGATGAAGCAAGTTGCCGCTTCCACATCTGCTTTTTTTTCCAGCTGCTTGTGAGTATTTGAAAGCAGACGGAGCAGACCAGGAGAGACTGTGCTTAAGTTTGATGGTGCCTTTAACTTCAGCAAGTTTCCTCTTCCTTTTCTTTTGTTCACTTTCCCTTTAGAAGAAAGGGAAAGTGAAAACTAAAATGGCGATCGTCTTTCTTGCCTGATTTGCATTACAGAGTAAAACCTGGATACAGATTAACTCTTTAAATACAGAAGTAAGAATTTGGCTTTTATTCTTTCCTCTTTTTTTCTCTATTTTTTTTTCTCTTTTTTTTAAGAACACTTAAAAGAACTGTGCCCTTTTTTTTTTTCAATAAGAATCTTTCTTCTTGGAACTTAAGAAAATGGCTTCAAAACGTCTGCCTCCCGCCCCTAAGGTTCCTATTTCTTCTCCAATGCCTCAGCCTGCATCTCAGAAACCAAAATCACCTCCACCTTCTCCCCCTCCTCCTGCAATTTCTCTTAATGATTTACAAGATGCTTTAAAGCAGCATGCCTTGGATATTAAGGAGGAGGTAAAAGATCTTATAATTGCAGAGAGGGCTAATACAGAAGAATTATTGGAGAAAAAGAACAAACAAGTAAGAGACCATATCCTTCTGGCCTTTCAGGGCCTAGCCCTGCACATAGAAAGGATTGATGACCAGATGGAAAAGATTACTGAAAATGCATCAAGGATGGAATTTAGAATGCAGGAGGTAGAGAACAAGATAGAAATTACACAGGATGAACAAATCATTTCACAATATAGGGAGATGGAACACGCATTGCGTATCAGAGGCCTGAGGGAGAACCCTCAGGAAGACTTAAAGATGCTTATTGTGAAAGATATTGCTCCTAATATTGGTTGGCGGCCTGAAATAATTGAGAATGAGATAGAAAAATTTTTTAGAGTTAATTCACGGGTTGCTAGACAGAGAAATCTACCAAGAGATGTGGTTATTTATTTTTCTAGAAGATCTATCCGTAATGAAATTATACAGGCTTTTTACAAACAAAAGTTTCAAATTGCTGATCAAGACGTGATAATTTTAAAAGAGATACCTCCAAAAATTTTAAGAGCCAGAAAAGATTTTACTTTCTTGTCTGATGAGTTGAAACATCGTCAAATTCAGTTCAGATGGGAGATTCCAAGAGGAATAATAGTAAATTATGAAGGGATACGTCACAGATTAACTACTGTTTCCAAAGCAAGAGATTTTTATCAGTCTATCTTAAAAGCAAGATTGTCACCACCTCCACAAATAAGGATGACGGAAGAGTCTCTTATGGCAGGAGCCTCATCAATGATGGTTATGGAACAAGCTGCACCGAATTCTGACATAAAAGAGCAAAGGATGACACGAGCTGCCCATAAACGTAAAGAAAAAGAGCAGTTGCAGAAGAGTGGTGAAAGTTTGGTTGTTACAGAGCCTGTGGGAGGGGCAAGACCAAAAAGATCTTCGACAGCAGATCTGCAGGCCATGCTCCAGAGGCTCCAGGCCGGTGGAGATGGTCAGGTTCCTGACCTGGAATGTTAATGGCTTAAACGTGCCCCAGAAACGAAGAAAGATTTTCCATTATTTGAAACAACATAATAATGATTTGATATGTTTGCAGGAGACTCATATAACTTTAAAGGATTCTAAATTCTTGATGAATTCCCGTCTGGGCACACATTTTACTGCTCCAGCCCCTGGGAAAAAAGGGGGAGTGGTAATTTATGTGAAGAAAACTTTTTCAGCTAAACTAATTGAGGCTGATTCTGAAGGAAGATATCTTTTTGTGGAATTATTATTACAAGGCCGAAAGGTTCTTATTGTTGGACTATATGCTCCCAATCAACAACAGAAACAATTTTATAAGTTGCTGCATGGCAAGATATCTCAGTTGGATTATAAATCGGTAATTTTGATGGGTGACTGGAATGGGGTTTTAGACCCAACTATAGACAAAAGAAGTTCCTCTAAAACTTTTATTCAAACTAAATTACCTATGACTTTCTTTGATTTGAAGGAAGAATTGGAGCTTATTGATATTTGGCGAGAAAGGAATACAAGTGATAGAGACTTTACCTTTTATTCTGATAGACACCAGTCATTTTCAAGGATTGATTTTTTTTTTATTACTAGTGACTTCCTCCCTAGAGTGAGGAAGGTGAAAATTTTTCCTAGAACATTGTCAGATCATAGTCCGGTGTGGATGGAGTTATATTCGGAAGACGGGAATAGAAGATCCTGGAGATTGAATGAGAACTTATTTAATCGGGAGGAGTTCATACAAAAGTGTAAAGAACATTTAAAGGACTTTTTTACTATAAATATGAATAAGGGAACATCGATGTCTATGGTGTGGGATGCTAGTAAAGCATATATGAGGGGAATTTTGATTCAATTGAATAAAGTTTTTAGGGAAAAAGGGTCACAAAGACGTAGAGAAATAGAAGAAGAGATCAAATCAAAAGAACAAGAGTTGGTTCTTAACCCTACTGATAATAATTTAAAGGTATCTATAAAGATGCTTAAGGAACAATTTAACATGTTGATGGCAGATCAGGTGGCTACCAATCTGTCGTATATGAGACATAATACTTTTTGCAATGCGAATAAGCCTGGGAGGTGGTTGGCTTATCAGTTACGAAAGAAACAGAAAGCTAGAATTATAGAGAAAGTAAAATATAAAGGTACTGAGGTTTTTCAGCAAGATTTGATTAAAAAAAGCTTTTTGGACTTTTACACAAAATTATATTCAAGTGATAATATAAGGGGTTTGGATATAGATAAATATTTACAATCAGTACATTTTCCTAGACTTTCAGAGGAACAACAAAATGGGATGAATAGTTTAATTACTGTGGAGGAAATTGGCTTAGCTATTAAGCAGTTAAAGGTTGGAAAGTCTCCTGGAACAGATGGACTGACTTCTAGGTATTATAAGATTTTATCTGAAGAAATGATAGAGCCACTAAAGGAACTCTTTAATAGTATTTTGTTGGGTATGCAAGTTCCTCCTTCTTGGAAAAGAGCTTTTATATCACTGATTCCGAAGGAAGATCAGGATCTTACAGAGCCTAAGAATTATAGGCCAATTTCATTATTGAATGTTGATTATAAGATCTTTACAAAAATTTTGGCAAATAGATTAATGCAGGTTATGAAAGACTTGATTCATAGTGATCAAGCAGGATTTATAACAGGGAGATATATGAAACATAATGTTAGACAAATTATTAACTTAATTGAGTACTTGGATAAGAATAATCAGATTCCTGTGGCTTTTATCTTTTTGGACGCTGAAAAAGCTTTTGATCAATTGGACTGGCAATTTTTATTTTCTTTGGTAGAGAAAATGAATTTTGGGGATAATTTTTTACATGCACTTAAAGCTATATATCAGCAGCAATCTGCACAAATTGTTGTAAATGGGGGATTGACTGAGAATTTTAATATTCAAAAAGGGACAAGACAAGGATGTCCATTATCCCCATTGTTATTTGTTTTAACATTGGAAATTTTATTGATTCAGATTCGGGAATCGAAGTTAATTAAGGGTGTAAAGATAAGGAAGAATGAGTATAAATTGCGGGCATTTGCGGATGATTTGGTTTTAATTTTGGAACAGCCGAATCAGGCGATTGATGGTTTATTAGAACTTATAACACAGTATGGGAATGTTTCTGGTTTTAAAGTTAATAATTATAAGACTAAGATATTATCTAAGAATATGTCAGTTAAAGAAAGGGAAAGTTTGATTAAAGCCACAGGTTTTCAGATGGTAAAAAAGGTTAAATACTTGGGAGTATATCTAACTGCTTCAAATGGAAAATTGTACAAGAACAATTATGAACCACTATGGGCAAAAGTCCAAAAGGATTTAATAGATTGGAAAAAATTGCAATTGTCATTGTTGGGGAGAATTTCAGCTGTAAAAATGAATGTTCTACCAAAGTTTCTTTTTTTGTTTCAGATGATACCTATTCTTAAAAAAGAGGCAAATTTGGAGGAATGGCAAAAGGGTATCAATAATTTTATATGGGCCGGGAAGAAACCAAGGGTTAAATTTAAGATATTACAGGATGCTCGAGAAAGAGGGGGACTTAAGGCACCCAATTTGAAATTATATTATGATGCAGCCGCCCTAACTTGGTTAAGTGATTGGCTTAATTTAACAAATATGGATATTCTTTTTTTGGAAGGTTGGGATTTAATATATGGTTGGCATGCATATTTAATTTTTAATAAGAAAGTTGATCGGACTTTTAAATCACATATTTTGAGGAATGCCTTACTTCGTGTTTGGAAGAAGTATTATTATAGATTAAATTATAAAATACCTATCTGGGGGATTCCCAGACATGCAATTGAGGGAACCTCTAAGGGGACAAATTTTGATAAAATTTCATATAAAGAATTGTTAATTTGTTCTGGTTCGAATTGGCATTTGAAATCCCTAGATGTATTAAGGCAGCAAAATATTCTACAGTCATGGTTTCAATATTTACAAATAATGGATAGATGGACTGTAGACAAGAAAGAGGGAATAACACTAGAAGATAGACAATTGGTTATTCAGATTAAAAACCAAGGTCCGGCTCATATAAAAAGAATATATAATGTTTTATTAGAGTTAGATTCGGAAACAGAATTGGTTAAAGATTGTATGATTAAATGGGCTCAGAATATACAGGAGCCGATCTCATTGGATTTATGGGAGATAATTTGGATAAGAAATGTTAAATTTACACAAGCTCAAAATTTGAGAGAAAATTTTTATAAAATGTTTTATAGATGGCATTTAGATCCTAAAAAATTATCTTGTATGTATTCCAACATACAGCCCAAATGTTGGAGATGTGGCAATAATGATGCGACATACTTTCATATTTGGTGGAATTGTAAAAAAGTAAAGGCTTTTTGGATTATGATTTGGTGGAACATTCAAAAGATTTTTAGAAAGAAGATAAAGTTTACTCCTCAACTATTTTTACTTGGTATTTTTGTTGACTTAAATGAAAAAGAAACTACTTTGATGTTGAATTTATTAACTGCAGCAAGGTTACTAGTAGGTCTATATTGGAAGAAAGATTCTTTGCCTACTTTAGAAGAATGGATATTTAAAGTATCTAGTTTTGCAGAAATGGCAAAAATTTCTGCTTATTTAAAGGATCATATACAAGAAAGATATATTACTGTATGGGGAAGGTGGATAGATTATATTCAGAAAAAATATGGAATTAAAAAGTTTTATTTATTTTATGAATGAATATCAAATATTATAGAGAATTGTTTTATAAGTTATGGAGTTAAAGGTTAATTATGATTTTTTTTTCTTTCTCTCTTTTTTTTCTTTTTTCTTAATTATTATAATTTTCTTTTTCTTTTTTTTTCTTAACCCTGTATTCTGCTCTGGGAAGTGAAGGGAGGGGGGGGTGGGGGTGGGAGGGAGGGTAAGGGGGGGTTCTCTATTTTAAAATTTTATTGTATTTTTATAAATGATTGTATGTTTTAAAAAATAAAAATTTTCAATAAAAAATAAAAAAATAAAAAAAATAAAATAAAAAAAGAATTGAAAAGAAATCAAATTTTACAACAATATTTGGATGAACTAATGTTTAAGACTTTTAAAAGTAAAAGGAAAGAATATAAAGTTGATTACTTTGAATAAGGTTAAAATAAAGTTTTCTCTGCAAAGTTTTGTCAATTCTTAACAGAAATTTTGCTGACACCAAAATTCAAAAGCTGATGTTTTATGGATTTGTTTTATAGATAAGGGATGGGATACAGAACAATAGATACCAGTTAGAAACTTATAAAGAGTTACTGAATTTGTCTATACTTGTAATTAAGGTTGGAAGTCACTTCTTTATATATTTCTTTTTCTTTATCATATTCTTTCTTTCTTCCACTTTTTATTCTCTCTTGCTATTGTTTTTTTTTCTTTAATTTAGTTTGCATTAGCTTTTAATACTGAATTCAAAATGTTTAATAGAAAATTATATGCCAGAGCTCAGTCACAGCTGTGTGAGCAAGTTATTGGTCGAGGAAGCATGCCAGAGTGTATTTAGATTCATTAGAAGAGGGAAAAGACTATTTTAAAAATGGAACAGCTTAAGATGACTTTAACCTTCTACAGCAGGGGTGTCAAACTCAATTTCATTGAAGGCCGCATCAGCATTGTGGTTGCCCTCGGGGGGGGTGTGTGTGTGTGGCCAGGATGGGTGTGGCCTACTGGGTGGGCATGGATGGAGTGGGTGTGGCCTACTGGGTGGGCATGGCCAGCTCTACATCGTTCGCATCAAGGGTGCCTGTGGGGGCCTGGGCAGGAATGGGACAGATCTGAGGGACTCTGCAGAAGGGGGTGGAACCGGGGCAAGCATCAAGGCATGGTCCATTTCTTCATTCCTCACAAAGGGTGACACCTTCCCAGCATGCACCAAGGGGTGGGGCCGACATGGCAGGGGCCGGTCCCTTGCTGTTTCCAGATGGCCTTGTGGAGCTAAGACTGAATGCGTTTCAGCATAGATGGCCACCACAAAATTGTACATTGGCTCCCGGCCGGCCTGGGCCAGGGCCAAGGCAGAGGGGGCCATTCCCTCACTGTTTCCACGATGGCTTCGCGGGCCACATAAAACCACTTTGCGGGCTGCATCCGGCCCCCGGACCTTGTGTTTGACATGTCTTTTCTACAGTATGAGCTGGGGATGAGAAGAAGGCAATTTCATGAGAACATGACACAAAAACCCCCAATAACCATGGCATATTTGTGATTTGGTGCAGAGTAAAGAGGAAACTTAATATCTTAGAAGTTAAAATTGATATATTAGTTTTTTAAAAATGGATTGGTACATTACATGGTTTTCAGATATGTAAATCAGCTGAATTATGAGCAGTAATAAAAATCCCTAAATTGATCCGATACCCACACAAGTTTAATGAGCCAACTGAGGTTGGAGCTAAGTCTGAGCTTTCTGGTTGAAAAAAAGAAAAAAGAACAGAAAGTGGGCCAAAGTTATTCTCCCACAGCCAGTCTCAGAAATGACTAACAGTCATATCAGCTGGAGGTCAAAGAGGACAGCACAATCCTCTCACTTCCACAATATGTATACCACCCAGAGTCACTCTGTGAGGGAGATGGGAGGTTTCTAAATGTGATATATAAATAAATAATCAGCAGCTGTACTAGCAAATGTGCCTCACAAACCTGGCTGACTATATAATGCGCCTGGAAAGTATCCTGATGTCTGGCATTGCCATGGTTTTGCAAATCAAGCTACAACATTGTAGTAGCACTGGCTGGTATTTAGCAATACAGTTAAGATGTAAAATGGGTAATTGAAATTTGTCTGTGGTTTTGATTTAACAACTGCCTTTATTTATAAAACAACTGCCAGGCAACTTCCTCTCAGCTTGAACAGAAAGAAATATCTGAAATTGTATCAGGAAATGTTCGCAATGCTGCCGGATGTTTGAGGGGGAAAAACAGTTTGGAAATAGATGGAGAATGTAAAGTTCAGACAGATTTAAGAAAGTTAGTCTGATTTATTATTAATCTGAATTTGACAAACTGGAAATAAAAAACTTTCCTGGGAATGTACACAGAGAATAAGGAAGCTAATGATAAATCAAGAAGGACCCAGGTTCAATTCCTCATACTTCACTGAGGAAAAAGATCAAGTGAAATCAGTAATAACAGTTAGATCACAGATATAACTAGCAATCAAACTGCTAACAGAGAAAATGAAATTACTAACCCTTTTCATAGTTCACAGCAACAATAAAACGAAGCTTTTAAAGAGCATTTGAAGAAAGCAAGTACTGTAGGATTGCAGAGAGAAAGATTAAAATACCCTACTGATGTCATCATCTTCATCATAAAAGACTTCTGGTGACATGGGACAAAGCAACAACAGAATAAGCCTTTCTGAAGGCTACTTTGGGCAACAGACTACAGCAAATTGGCCCATACCCCATTCATTTTACTGCTGCTTATCAGAATAGTTGCTTCAATGGGTCTACGTTTTGGGCTTCTTGTGCAGCCATTTGTTACCCTAACATACTTTGAAGGGTCCTCAGAATTAAGTGGCTGGGCACCTGCCTATTGCTGGAGAAAGAACAGGTGGGAAGTCCTCATGGATGAAGACAGCAGGAGGGGGTGGATCCTCCTCTGACCTCAAGCATCAGGTCTTCTTGGGTTGTGTTTGTTCTTTTTAGAAAGTCTACAAAGGGAGAGGAAGCCAATCCCAGTATGAGAAAGAAATAAAACACCCTCTTGCTGAATAAGTAGCAGGTGACAGAATGTTCTCTAGCCATATTTTTCAGGCTGAGAGTTATATGTGATTAGCATGTCAAAGCTGAAGTTCAAAGAGAGGAAGATTAAAAATTACAGTTTAGCAGCAATATTTGGAAGGTCTCTAGTATTTATAACCAAGGTTTGATAGGTGTATATGGCCTTGGGGAGATAGGTTATACACACTGCTGCTTTACACCACTTCTCATTTTCTGACACAATACTTATGCATTATTGGACATTTACACTAATAACCAACCTCATTGGAATTCCTCAGATTACAGTATCCTTTCAGGGTCAAACCACCCTAATTAAGGAAGAAAACGATTAACGTGAACCTCAGCATGAAATTATTGTAAATAAATACAAATGTATTAAATGTATAGATAAGACAACATGTAGCATAATGAAAGGAATACAAAATGTATTAGAATTTAATGGAATAGGGAATACACAATTACCAATAGAAATAGTGAAGAATGGTCAGTTCCTTTGAAAACCTATTGTACATTTAGATATGTGACAAAAATAGACTTTTCTAATCATACTCAAAGAAACAGCTTACCATTTAGAGCTGCAAGGATCATCATATGTAGGGTATTTTTCACAGACGTTGCCTGAAACCCCAGAATTTGTGCATATACATTTTCCACACACACATTTGCCTCTCCCACTGCAGATGATGCCATCATTAGAAATACAACTCTCGGTATCTGTGGTACAGTTACAGTATTCACCTGTCCAGCCATGGTGGCAAATGCATTGACCACAGTCACAATCCCCATTACCTAAGAAAAAAAGAGGGAAGTCAACCCTACTTCAACTGCTTCCATCTTTGCCTTTGCTTCCTAATCCTTGAAAATTGCCAGCAATCCTCTGTAGAATGTTGTATGAAGACATTATTTCATATAATTGGAAAGAAACCTTCCAACTAGGTACCATATTAAAGTTCTTTATTAGGATTACATAGAATCACAAAGTAGGGAGCCAGCTGTTGAGTTTCAAACCCTACAGTACTTTATTGGTAGAAAGCATGACAGACATCTCATCAGGTAGGTAAGTAGGTAGGTAGATAAATATAAATGATAGATAGATAGATAGATAGATAGATAGATAGATAGATAGATAAGAAAAGAGACGGATAGCTAGATAGATGATATATAGATAATAAATCAGATGACAGAGGATAGATATAGAAAGAAATTGAGATAGAAATATAGATAGAAATAGATAGATAAAAATAGATGATAGAAATATAAATATGACTTAGAAATAGATCATAGATTAGATAGATGATAGATAGATAGATAGATAGATAGATAAGAAACAAGATAGATGGTTAGATAGATGATATATAGATAATAGATCAGATGACAGAGGATAGATATAGAAAGAAATTAAGATAGAAATATAGATAGAAATAGATGAGATAAAAATAGATGATAGAAATATAGATATAGAGAGAAATAGATGACTTAGAAATAGATGATAGATATAGATAGAAATAGATCATAGACTAGATAGATAGATAGATAGATAGATAGATAGATAGATCTCCTAAGATAGTAAGTCACAGAATGAAAATAAAGCATAACTGTTTATTCCAAACAGAGAACTCACCATGTTTCATTACCTCACTGAAATAGCCTTTCACAATCTTTTGCCTTCCAAACATCATTGGCTAAAATAGCCAATGATGTTTGGCTTTATACTGTTAGCAATTCTAACAGTATAGAGGGAATTATATTTCAGCCCATCTACCAACCTCAGGTATATCTGTCTTTGGTGCTAGCTAAGATCCTTCCCACAGCTTACAGACTAACTCATGTGATTGCTTATTCAGAATAATGAAATTCCGCAACCTTCAGAGAACTTCGGATCTTCCCAAAAAAATCTGCACAAATGCTTTTCTTTCTTGTGGAGTAGTTGTATAACACTACCAGCAAAGTGCCACAAGAGAAATGTGTTTGGAGCTGACATGAGAAAAGAGGATATTAAGGTTCAATCCCTACTCCTCAATTCAGCCAACATATCCAAATATATTTTGCAAATTACTTAGCAATGCACAAATGCATTTTATATTCTCTTCCCAATGACCTTTGTACCCCTCCTGTATTTTAATTCCTCCCCTTGGAAAAGATTTGAATACAGTGTTCTGTCACTGTAATGATGGCATATTCCTATAAATTCCACAGAAAGATGGGTTGTATTATTATTTTGTCATAATGTTTATCCAGAAATAAATTCTGCTAGATTCTATGCATTTTATTTACAGATAGGTAAAGGGAGACTAAATTTAGAAAAGCTTTCTGTAAGAATATAAATCAAACAATACTTCATGGTTTCCAATAGAAAAAAAAACATTAACATATTGTCTATTGGAAGGTTTAGATCTTTGAACGTTGCCTTTCCTTCACACCTTACGTACATCATTTTAAATATAATATTTAAAACAATAAATATTTACAATAAAACAAGCAATCCTGATTCATCTGGAAATGTTTAAAAGCAAAATGAAGAAGTACATTTCTTGATTTAAAAAAATTGTATTATAATTCAAAAGAAATATGATGAGGAATTTCATAGTGGCCCTTCCATAAACACAAACACATATTAACACAATGATTTAATGGATCCTTATTTAGTGGACTTTATGGTAGAATAGCCCAAATTTCCATCCGTACATCTATATATCATCTCCAAATGACCCCCCCCAAAAAGCCCATTGCATGTGGAAGAGTCCACATGAGGTACTTAAATTTTTGTTAAACTGAATTATGCTTACGTCAAATTAGGTTATTTGTGTAATGATGTATGTAAGGTGTGAATGATATACTTTCTGATTATCAGACTTTTCAGAAACATGAACTCCCATTCCCTGAAACAATCCACTTAATCAAGACTGTCTTTTGCATGTCCACATGCATTTATACATGATACGCACAATTGCATAATATATACACACTTTCAATACCTTACTGTATGCTTATTATGTAGTTACAAGGAAAATACAATTTAGAGCAGACTTACCTCCACAGAGCTGCCCTCTAAGTCTGCCACAAGAGAAATCGTCGCATTCACAGTATGGGCCATATATATGTCCGTATGCTGAAAGGTGGCAAATACATTGTCCACAATAGCAGTCACCTCTTCCATTGCACAAGATCTGTTCTGGGAAACTTTTACAGGACTCTGTATTCAGTGTCTCTTTTTCGCTACATTTACAGTCTGGACCCACGTAGCCGGGGTTACACACACATACCCCACACTCAAAAGAACCATTCCCGTAGTTGCACTTGGAGTTGTTCACCTCCATTTCCTTCTGACAATGACAGCTACATTCGGGCTGGATCTCAATCTCTAATGCTTCATTTAGACCAGTGGGCTTGATTAGGACTTTCTTTCTCCCTTCACTGCAAGCTGAAGGGCTCAAACCTAAAGTCACATTGAAAGTGACCTAAAGAACGGAGAGGAAAAACCACCCATGTGAAAGACACCCATCATCATTTTAGCATACAAAGCACAAAGTAAATATTTAAATATAAACTAACTTGGAAATATTAACTGCCTCCATTCATGAAATATAGGGTAGATATGTTTGACATATTGTTTTATAGCATAAAATCTCAAAGCTGAGAGGTTGAAAGCTGGAAGAACGCAATTCTTCCCGTATTGCTGCCAACAAAATCACATAGATGTGTCTCCAGGAGGTGAGATCAATTCAGGGACCTATTTACCTTCATTGGAATTTTTCTGGATAAAATATGAAGTGTAAGTGCTTTGAATATATGGAGATAAACCATAGGTTTTCCTGAAATCATCTGACACTGGAGACTTGAATGAGGATGATGAGGTGTAGCTCCTGAAAAATTATGCCTTTTAATAAAATTTGTTGGTTGTAAACAAATATAAATAAAGGCATAGAAACAGAATCACACAAAGTATTAGTAATACTTTATAAATCCTTAGTACAGGTCATCCTCAATTTACAACAGTTTGTTTAGCGACCGTTCAAAGTTACAGCAGCACTGAAAAATGTGACTCGTGACTATTTTTCACAGTTACAATCTTTGAAGCATCCCTATGGTCATGTGATCAAAATTCAGCCGCTTGGGAGCTTCCGGTGGGAGGCGACGGCGATGGCGGCTAGCTTTTAGCCGTCCAGCTGGGGAAGTGTCAGAGCCGCGGAGCGCAGCGCGCATCAGCTGGCCCGCGGCTCGGAAATCCCTTCCCGGGCAAAGGGAAGGGATAGAGAACGCAAGAGTAGAGGTAGAACCCCTGAACCCCCTCTGGATTTATTTCTAGAGGGGGTGAAAGGAGTGTTCCCTCGGAGCTCTTGCTGATCTCCGCCTCCCAGCTGTTTTTGCTTCCTTGGAAGCAAAAGAAACCGCCGCTTCTATCTCCGTGTTTACAGCATTTTGGTGAGTAATTTTTAAACGGACGGAGCAGTTTAAAGGATTTTTTGTTATATTTTAGGTGTTTATTTTTTTATCTTTTGATTTTTACTATTTTTCCTCCTTTTCTTTGTTATACTAGTGAAAGGACTTAAGATGGCGTTTTGAAAGTGTCGGAGTTTTTTTTTCCTTTCTCTTTTGTTTTACTTTCCCTTTTTAAGGATTGTTTTTTGCTTTTGCTTTTGCTTTTGGCTTAGAATTTTTTCTTTTGAATTGTTTGCTCTTTTACTACTTATTCTTGGGATTTATTCTGGACTTTTAATGATTATAGTTTGTCTCTTTTTAAAAATTCTTTTTTTCTTTTTTTCCTCCTCCCTTTTTGGCTGGAGGGGAAAGGGAAGTGACAATTGTGCTTTTTAAAATGGCTTCAAAGAGGCAGCAGCCTTCCTCAATACCCAAGGTTAAAATCAACAACAGGAACAATTTTATATACAGTTACACCAAAAAATAACTTTGCTTGATTATAGATCAGTGGTATTAATGGGTGATTGGAATGGTGTCTTAGACACACAAAGGGATAAGAAAGGTTCCTCTCCTTTTCTTAAACAAGCAAGGCTACCTAAAGCCTTTTTTGATATGAAAGAAGACTGGGAATTAAGGGACTATTGGCGGGAACGTAATCAAGAGGAGAGAGACTTTACTTTTTTTTCTGACAGACACCAATCTTTTTCAAGAATTGACTTTTTCTTGATTACCACGGATTTGTATAATAAAGTAAAGAATGTAAAGATTTTTCCTAGATCACTGACGGATCATAGTCCAGTTTGGATGGAGTTGATTCAAGAGAAAGAGGAAAGAAGATCCTGGAGAGTTAATGAAAATTTGTTTAGACAAGAGAAGAATGTTCAAAAACTAAAGGAGTGTTTAAAGGACTATTTTGCTTTGAATATGTACAAGGGGACTTCAATGTCAATGGTATGGGATGCAGGTAAAGCATTTATGCGCGGTGTTTTGATAAAAATGAATAATTTTTATAAGCGAAATCAGATTCAGAAACGTAGAGAACTTGAAGATGAAATTAAACTAAAAGAAAGGGCTTTGATTCTAAATCCTTCTGATGAAAGTACTAAAGAATCTGTAAAGTTATTAAGGTCACAATTTAATATGTTGATAGCAGATCAAGCTGCAACCAATTTATTATTTATGAAACAAAATACATTTTGTAATGCTAATAAGCCGGGGAGATGGTTGGCTTATCAATTAAGAAAGAAACAGAGACAGAGAATAATAGAGAAAATAAATTATAAGGGTAAACTAGTTTCTCAGAAGGAATTAATTAAAAAATCTTTTTTGGATTATTATCAAAACCTATACAAATCTACTAATGTACAACTGTTAGATATAAATAAATATTTAGCTGAGGCAAGTTTTCCTAAACTGACTGAGGATCAGAAATATGAAATTAATGGTTTAATTACTAAGGAGGAAATTGCCTCAGCAATTCAACAATTGAAATTAGGGAAAGCACCGGGTACGGATGGGTTAACAGCTGTTTATTATAAAGCCTTAATGGAGGAGATGATTCAACCATTAAATGATCTTTTTAATGGTATCTTACAGGGTTTAGAGATTCCTCCTTCATGGCGTAGTGCTTTTATATCATTGATTCCAAAGGAGGATCAAGATCTTACTTTACCAAAAAATTATAGGCCTATATCTCTTTTAAACGTGGATTATAAGATATTTGTAAAAATTTTGGTAAATAGGCTTATGAGGGTGGTGCATCATCTTGTGCATAAAGATCAATCAGGGTTTATAACAGGAAGGTATATGAAAAACAATGTTAGACAAATTATTAATTTATTAGAATACTTAGATAAGAACAACCAAGTTCCTGCAGGGCTCATATTTTTAGATGCTGAAAAAGCATTTGACCAACTGAATTGGCATTTTATGCTAAGAGTAATGGAAGAAATGAATTTTGGTGAAAACATATTACAAGCCCTTAAGGTAATATATCAAAAACAAACAGCACAACTTATTGTTAATGGAGGTTTGTCGGAGGTTTTCACAATAGAGAAAGGTACTAGACAGGGGTGTCCTTTATCGCCATTGTTGTTTGTTTTAACATTGGAAATATTATTGATTAAAATTCGAGAGTCTCAGGAAATTAAAGGAATATATGTTAATAAAAAAGAATATAAGTTGAGAGCTTTTGCGGATGACTTGGTTGTTACTTTGTCGCAACCTGATTATTCTGTAGTAAACTTATTACAGTTGATTCACCATTATGGTTTGGTCTCGGGTTTTAAGATTAATGTAAATAAGACTAAAATTTTACCTAAAAATATGTCGAGTCAGGAGAAGCAGATTTTGGTTAACTCGACGGGTTTTGAGATTGTTAATAAGGTAAAATATTTGGGGGTGATGCTGTCTGTTTCTAATGCAAAATTATTTAAAAATAATTATGAAAGGTTGTGGGTCGGGGTACAGAAAGACTTGAAGAACTGGGAAAAGCTGCAATTATCCCTCATGGGAAGAATTGCAGTGATAAAAATGAATATTCTACCCAAGTTTCTTTTTTTGTTTCAAATGTTACCAATTTTGAAAAATGAGATTAATTTAAATGAGTGGCAGAAGGGTCTCAATAAATTTATTTGGGCAGGGAAAAAACCAAGGGTTAAGTTCAAAATTATGCAAGACTTCCGTGAGAGGGGCGGACTCAAGGTACCAAATTTGAAATTATATTATGATGCGGTGGTTTTAACATTAATTAGTGACTGGGTAAATTTGACAAATTCTGAGATACTTTATCTAGAGGGATGGGATTTACTTTATGGGTGGCATGCCTATTTAATATTTAATAAAAAAATAGATTGGGCTTTTAAATCTCATATTTTAAGAATTTCTTTACTTAGGATCTGGAGAAAATATTATAAAAGTGATTTTAAAGTACCATTATGGGCTATACCTTGGCATGCGATAGAAGGAATAAAAAGAGGGGTTAAAATGGATATGGTGTCTTATAGACAGTTACTTAAATGGGATGGACAAAACTGGCAATTAAAATCACGGGAAGAATTAGCACAAGAAAATTTTACTTATTCTTGGTTCCAATATAGGCAACTACTAGATAGATGGAAGATGGATTGTAAGGTGGGTTTTCTTAGAGAAGATGAAAATCTTATTAAGCAACTGAAGGATCAAAGACAAACCCACATTAAGAGAATTTATGGGGTTTTAGTTGAATTGGACTCAGAAACGGAACTAATTAAAGATTGTATGATTAGATGGGCGCAGAACTTTGGTGAGCCAGTTTCATTGGACACCTGGGAAACTATTTGGGTGAGAAATGTCAAATTTACTCAAGCACAGAATTTAAGGGAGAATTTTTATAAAATGTTTTATAGATGGCACCTTGATCCACAAAAAATGTCTTACATGTACCCTGACGTGCAACCTAAATGCTGGAGATGTGGTTATAAGGAGGCTTCCTATTATCATATTTGGTGGTCATGCAGAGAGATAAAAGCATTTTGGATCAAAATATGGTGGAATATCCAGAGAATTTTTAGAAGGAGGGTAAAATTTACTCCGCAATTATTTTTGTTAGGTATTGTTACAGATTGTGATACAAAGGAGGTTGTATTGATGTTAAACTTGATCACAGCCGCGAGGCTGTTAGTTGGACAATATTGGAAGAAGGAATCTTTGCCTACATTGCAGGAATGGTTTTTTAAAGTAGCTTATCTGGCGGAAATGGCAAAGATTTCGGCTTTCTTAAAGCAACAAACGCAAGAGAAGTTTTTTGCTATCTGGGACAAATGGATAAAATTTATACAATTTAGATTGGGTATACAAAAATATTATATAGCTTTTTCATAAGTTTTATTTTTATATATATTATAGATATCTTTTTTATATATATAAATATAAAGTTTTTAATTTAATTTTTATTTTTATTTTTTATTATTTCTTAAGCCTATATTCTGCTCTGGGAAGCTCAGGGGGGGGGAAGGGAGGGTTTTTGGGAGGGGTGTGGGGTGGGGTTTTTTTTTTATATGTATTGTTTAATTTTTTTTTCTTTTGTATATGTTGTTTTTTGTTCTGTATTGTTCTTGTTTTTCTTGTAAAATTTATAAAACTTTTAATAAAAAAAAAAAAAAAAAAATTCAGCCGCTTGGCAACTGGTTCATATTTATGACCATTGCTGTGTCCCAAGGTCACGTGATCCCCTTTTGGGGCCTTCTGACAAGCAAAGTCAATGGGGAAATCAAATTCATTTAACAACTGGGTTATAACTTTCGAAAAAAATGCAAAGAAGAGCAACTAAGATGATTAAAGGCCTGGAGACAAAAACATATGAAGAACGGTTGCAGGATTTGGGAATGGCCAGTCTAGAGAAAAGAAGGACTAGGGGTGACATGCTAGCAGTATTCCAGTAGAGGAGGCCAATTTATTTTCCAAAGCACCAGAGGGCAAGACAAAAAACTATGGATGGAAACTGATCAAGGAGAGAAGCAACCTGGAATTAAAGAGAAACTCCTAGCAGTGAGAACAATTAACCAGTGGAACAGCTTAGCGCCTTCAGAAGTTGTAGGTGCTTCATCACTGAAGGTTTTAAAGAAAAGACTGGACAGCCACCTGTCTGAAATGGTATAGGGTCTTCTGCTTGAGCAGGGGATTGGACTAGAAGATCTCCAAGGTCCCTTCCAGCTCTATTTTGATTAATTAATAGTGCTACCAGAATCCTGAATTTAGATGACTGTACTGGATGTAGGCAAACTGAATTCCTGTTTTACCTCCAGGAAACTTCAAGTGAAGCAATCCTTAAAGTAAAACTACAAGCAAAGCAACTCCCCACCCCATTTCTAAGCAGTGGAGAATTTCCACTAACATTGATTAAGCAATGTTATCCATCAGGACCCATGAACCATACCTTCTCTGTTGTGATATCTGCCCTCTGAAATGAGATCCAGCAAAGATTCATGAGGATCCCGTTCTGATGTTTCAAAAGGCCTTGAAAACTTGGTTGTTCTCTCAGGCAAGGTGGGTGTGCCCTCCCTGTTTAAATATGTTTCAGTGTATATAGGCTATTGTTCAGACAGATGCTATTCTGTTGTTTATATTGTACTGTATATTTTCTATATTATTTGATTTAAATTGTGAGCTGCTCAGAGTCATCTGGAGTCATGTGATGCCTAAATCTAATCAAATAAAGCTTCTATCCAAGGAAAATGGCTGTTCTCCACCATGATATTCCAGCTGATTTGAAAGGAGCAGCTGACTAGCAGGTAATCTACAGTCCTGCTCCCTTTTCTTTACAGACCATATGATCAATATAAGGGAGAAATCCATGTGGTATAATGGTTAAGGTATTAAAGTAGGACTGGGGAGACCTGGGCTCTAGCCTGTTCTCAACCATGAAAGCCCAATGTTTGAAGGTGGACTAGTCACTATCTCCTAGCCCAACCTCTCTTAGAGAATTGTTATTCATAGGGAAAATGAAGCATCACACATGTTGACTTGAGCTCTAGGAGGAAATATGCAAGACATAGAAGAAGAAAGCATCACACATGTTGACTTGAGCTCTAGGAAGAAATATGCAAGACTGAGCCTGCCAACCGATGGCTTGCTTCAGTGAAAATGCATTTCAGTATCTCAGTATTTGTCATGCCTCTTGACCACCAATTTATACCAATTGGGAGTCATATTAAGACAGGGATGGAAGGCAATTTGTAGTTTTTCAGAAGTTGTTCAAGATAGCCAATAGAGGGGAATCCTGGGAGTTGTAGTTTACCAATACAGTACTCAGCAGGTCACAGGTTTATGCCAAATCCCATTTAGGGATCCCAACTGCAATTGGCTTTGCAATGGGAAATTACACTGATGAAATCATAATCTACTTACTTGTTCTCCCACTTTAATATGAGAGCATTTCTTCTGGTGTGGAAAGGTAGAGCCGTGACTGCAGATGGCAGTGAAAGCAAGTTTTAATCCAACTGTGTCCCCTAGCACCTCCAGCTCTATCTCAGACCTGAGTGACTTAGACACAATAGTTGACATCATGTCATTGGAAAAGAAATGCCTGATAATTGTAGAATTGATAACATCCCTTCCTGGAACTGAAGATTGGCTCTGCCAGATCTTCTCTAAGAAAGTAAGCTCAAAGTTGCTGGCAGTCAGGTAGCATATAAATGTAAATAATAATAATAATAATTATTATTATTATTATTAAAAATGGAGCAGAGATGCTTATGGGAGACGCCTTTTCAGAGATTTCACCCTGGGAGCTCAACTGCACATAGTTTGGAGTTGAACAACAATCAATTTAAAAGCATCTCCAGGTATTTTACCAGCGTTCAACTGCTTTGGATTCAGTGACTTGTGTTTTTAAGCCATATTTTCTTTTTATTTTCTGTTTTTTTTCTTTCAAATGGTTTTATTTATAGTGATGAGTTGCCATTGTTATAGTCTGATCTATACCATCTGATAAAATATATACATATACAGCTACAGTGAAAATGAAATTCTCCAATATTCATCCTAAAATGTTGTATAAACCTCAGAAAAACTGTCAATACTTATAACAGTCTTCTTGGTATCCTCCAGATGTGTTGGACTATAATTTCTATTACCCACAACCTTCATTACCATTTGGAGGGCAAGAGGCTGAGAAAGGTTGCTAACACATGCAAATGTGTGAGAAAGTGGACGGTTTCACAAACTGTACTAAGCCTAAATATGACTTATTTGGCAAGGACCATGTGAGAACATATTGTTTTTTGTAAATCATAGTTTATGGGTATTTGGGGTGAATCTCACCAATTCTGGTTTATTCAACAAAGCAGGAGTAGAATGCATTGGCATTCTTTTGAACATTAACTGCTTAGTAAAAGAAAATGGAATAGCTGTCTTGCTCTTTTTAATAATTTGATTTTCTGCCAGTCTGGATTTTATATAGGGTAAACTTTGAACACTTTGAAGACATCAAACATTTGATTAGTGTTCTTTACAGTTTTTGATTTCTCAAGGCGTGTACTTATATGCTTGCTAAAATCTATGACTCAGATTGGAAGGGAATACGAGAAGACTGTGCAACAAATATTTTGACAATTCAGTCTTCCTTCTTTTGCTTATTTTCTTTGGAATATTTACATGTCAACACATCTGTGAATAATAACCTCTTGAATTTCTGCCACAATTTTAAAATGCTTCCATCACTGGAACAATTTTAAAATGGAAACCCCTACCACTTAAGAAACTTTAAGTAAATCTCTTTTTTTTAATGCAAAGGACAATTGGGATCATATTTTTACTTCAACAAACTGCCAGACCACTCTCCGATCAGTATATTCTAAAGAAAAGCAGAAAATTCAGCCATTCTCTAAAATTTGACATTTTTACACACCCGTATTTAAGAGCTCATACCATCAGGAAATTCTTCCTAATATTCAGCCTAGATCTGTTTTCTTCTGCTTTCAACCAACTGGTCTAAAACATATTTTTAAAAAGACTAGGCTGAAGCAGTCATGAGATAAATGTGTACTGTACAAATAGGATTAGAAACTTATTGCTGTGTAAATAAACTACATTAGTGGAGCATTTGGCTAAAATCACATATTATGAAGAGGAAAGACTCTCTTTTTTTCTAACCATGATCCCAGCATAGTGATCGATGCTTGTAATCTATACTTTACATTTTTATGACTTTGTCTGAGTTTTTATTTGCTAATGAAACATTGGAGATAACCAATATTTCAGAGAGGGAATAATGCTACATCCAAATTAATTTCCTTACATCAAATTACAAAAATATGAAACTTTACTTGTGGTATTATCTTATTTATTGAATTTATACGCCATCCATTTTCCCGACAAGGCAACTCTTATTAATTTTACATACCTTATATGCATCTATAATCAACTGGAGGACATTTCCAGAATCATGCTGTAGTCTTCCAACAGTAGCTCCAGGAATAAGATCTGCATATTGCTGCAAAATAAAATTATAACTTTGCCTCAGGAAAAAAAGATCAAATTTATAAGGTCACCTGACAGATGGTAAAAAACAAATATGGTTCTTGGCCTCTGGTAAAAATATCAATGTTAGTCCCTTCATTTTAGGGACTTGTATTTTTTTCCCAATAATTTTTTAATTTATTTCCAAAATTAAAGTGCAAAATCAAAAAAAGGAAAAAGAAAAGAATAGATAATAACAACAAAGACAAAAAAGTATATAAAACAGAATGTCAAACATGCACATAAAATATCTCCCTGGTTGAATACTAATAAATATGTTTCATCGATAATAATTATTATTCCCCTCCTTGCAAAGCAAGCTCACAATTTATCACTCCTTTTACCTCTATATTTGCAAAATTACTACATAACATTAAAAAATACCAGAAGTGTAGAAATCTATTCTCAATCAACTGTTTTGATCTATCATCTATCCACTATATAAAAAAGCAATCAACAGGTAATTCCAAGAACAAAGGTAAACTTCAAAGCCCTCTGTTAACAATCTATTATTGTATTTAATTCACAGAAAACCCACAAGGAGCTTCTAATCTCCCATAAACCCACTATAACCATTGTCTCTGATCCATCCAGGATCAAATAAAATTGGTTTATTCTTAATGGTTAAAAAAAAAATCCTTCCAATTTATCATCCATTTTTTTTAAATTATAAGTGGGACCTTTCTAAACAACTGCTTCTCATTTCTCACAAACATAGGTCTCCATTGAAAATATCTCCATAACAATCGTTTAGTAAATTTTCCTACAAATTGAAACAGAATATCTCTTGGCAGCTGTCTTCTGGTTGCATATAGTAGTTTTATTCCACAAACTCCATCAGCTTCCTTCTCTTTCAAATCTGATAACAGTGAATTAATTTCCAGCCCATCCAATTGCATAGCTAATTTAACTACAGTTGCTTGTATCTGGATATCTTCTTTAGAATGATTTGAAACTGTGGCGAATTCATGACAGCTTTTATCAAATTTTTCATTTAAAGCTTGTAATCAGGAAAACCTTTTTTCAAAAGTTTCCAAAAAAGGCTTTAATGTGAAATTAATCTGATTTCCATCTTCTTTTTATGCCTCTTTTTGGAAATATTGTAGAATTTATATAACATGTAATATTCAAACCCCTTAATTTATTGTTACTTTAGTCAAGCTTTCACAGCAGGGTGTAAACAGTTCCTTTCCCAGAACAAAGAAAGTAAATATTCCATAACAAAGTAACCACAGAAAAAGCTGAGATAAGAATTCCCATAGCAGAGAATAAAGAGAAAAGGGAAAGAAAAGGAAAGAAAAAGGGGAAATTCCCATCTTTTTAAAATTAAAAGTAAAAAAAAAATCAAGGATTTATGCAAAAATAAAATGAAGCAATGGAGTTCTTTTAAAAAACTAGTAAAATACAGAATCCTTAGAGTAAGAATCTAGTATAAATCAAATCCTTTTCATTGCAAAGAAGGCCTTATACTGCCAACTTCCTTGTGGTGAAAGAGAAAGTATTTTAAAACTCCAAAGTTTACCAAAGAAAGTTCACATTTGTAAACCAGCAGGAGAATATAAAGCACATGAGCATTCGACCAGGCTAATAATTACATTTCAAAGCTTCAAAAAGTGATACTAAAGAGAATGACAGGAAAAGGAGACCCAACCCTCCAGCTGCTCTTACTGAGAATGGCAAACCTTCTAGGCCAGTGTTTCTCAACCTTGACAATTTTAAGGCATGTGGACTTCAACTCCCAGAATTCCACAGCCAGCATTGCTGGCTGTGGAATTCTGGGAGTTGAAGTCCACATGCCTTAAAATTGTCAAGGTTGAGAAACACTGTTCTAGGCAAGTACACTGTTGTCTGAAGGTCACTGTGGGTTGCTCCTAGTTGCTCCCATTCAAATCTGAGGACTGTGTTGCCAAAGAACCGGCTTTGACAGCAAAGTCAGCTGTTTGTTGACAGGGATAAAAAAGTGCCCTGCTGCTCAGTGCACCATTTTCTGGGGATCTCCAGGCACTTGTATTTTAAATTGTTCAAGCACTCCATAAGGCAATGCTGACCTTTGTTACACTATCGTAAGCTGCCCAGAATCACTCTGGATAGTGAAATGAATGACATATACATTTTATAAATAATAAGGGAGAAATAATGAAGGTTGTTTTCTGATTGTTGATTGCCGGTTTCCCAAGGAAATTCAATGGGGAAGCCGACAAGAAGCTGGAAGTCACTCCGATTCCCACTAACTTTTTGCCTACTTATAGCTATTCTGTTTCTCTGTTTAGGTAACAAAATATCTTTGAAAAGATGATCCAATGGATCATGAGCTGTCTAATATTCTTTTAAAAGTACAAAATCCAGGAGCCATGAGATAATTGTATGATACATCCCTGTTAGCTATATTAAATCTACATTGGGAGCCACATTTGAGTGAGTTTTATTCAGTGCCTTGAGATTGAGGAGATTTAACTAAGGCTGCAAGATTATATCTACTTTCCTTGAAGTTTCACTGAACTCAACAGAAACTCCTTTCATACAGATGTGGATAGGAATGTACTGTAAGCCGCACATGGCATTATTAATGGGGCAAATGTGGTTTGACAGTTTTTTCTGAAAGGCGTTTGGGGCATGATTGAACACTAAGGGAAATTCAGTCCATTCAAGAGATGAAAGGCTGGGAGTGGGTGGGTGGGTGGGTGGAGAATGGATGGACAGATTCTTAGATAAGGACTTTCTGGCTTTCTCTATCTATTATTTAAAATTGAGATAGTCACCACTCACTGATCACAACATCACATTTTCTTTGGAATTCTATACCCTTTGCTATCTCTCTGTACTTCCACTGTTATATGAACAGTTTCACATTACATTATTTCTTTTGTCATATCAGAGTTCCCAGGTGTTTTTGTTTGTTCCCCAGGAACATTAAATCAGGTTTTGTCCTATTCAAAACTCCCATTTTGTTGCTTTCTTTGGATAGCTTGTTTGTTTCTCTTTTAAAAATAAAATCCCTGCTGTTTTTGTGTTCCTGCTCTACCATTTTGTTTGCTACCATTTAGTGTGGGATTAGATTAAGTACCTGCATGTGTGCTAAATTTATCCTACTTCAATGAGATTAGGATTCTGAATCTAATAACATTTCTGCTTAATACATTGAATACATTTTTGGGTTACCATCCATCCCTTTCATCTTAATATTTATTTATTCGACTTAGAATGCCATTCAACTCTTTAAGCCTCTCTCTATGTTGTATAACATTAAAAAAGTAGGAAGAACTTCAGCTGAAATACACAGTTCTTGTGGTAATGTTGCCTCTGCTTCCCCAGCTCCCCCCCCCCGCCTGTCGCTTTGACCTACTCTTATTTTCAAGCCAATTGAGAACAAAGCTGTGCTAGAGTGCCTTGTGAGCCAATCAACTGTTCTGCAGCTAGCAGCACAGCCCAGTGGCAGCAATGGAACTGGCAGACCTGCTTTTAAAACATTTACCAGCACACTACTGAGTTCAGGAGTGGGCAGGGACCATATCAGTCCAACGTTCTCTCCTCAATGTAAAAAAAAAAAAAAAGAGCCAACCAAATTTCTTGATGGACAACAGAAGATAGGCACTAAACGATGTATTACTGGATCCGGATATGGTGTCATAACCAAGCACCCGCACCAAGGGCCATTGCAGAAACCTCCACAGTGTCCAGATTGGCTGGGTCACTAGCTGAAATGGAGATCATGTTGTGCCAGCCTTGGCATTGGCTCCTCAATCCACCAGGATGGTGGCCTTCCCCGCAACTCAACTGGGACAAGATTGTGGCCACTGCTGCCAAGCCTTTTGGAGTTTCCAAGAGTTCAGTTCAGCCCTAGCAATTCTAGAACTTCAGGCAACAAATGGTATGGCCCAACTTCAAATAACCTCAGTATCTTCACCCCAGAGCATTTTTCAGACACCATGTTGAATGGGCAATCTAAGAAGAATGTGAAAACCAGGAAGATTTAAATATCTTACCTGATACAAATGAACTTGTTCCTTGGTGACTGCAAAAATTAGCAGAATGTTGTTTTGCACAATTTTCTCTTTCAATTGTCCTAAAGTTGGATATTCCTGAAAAAAAACAAAAAGAAAAATCAGTGTTAACACAGATACATCAACTTTAAGTTAAAAAATAACTTACAAGTGCATGGTAAGCGCGTGAACAGTGCCAGATGAAAGACTCCCATATTGAGGGCAGATAGCACACAGTAGATTAACCAAAGCATAGATCCTCCATAATGCCTTTTTTCACCTTGATAGAAGAAAAATATTAGCCCTAGAATTAAACAAAGGCTACTCTTCCTTTATGGAAAATGTAAATTCATGTTTAAGAAAATGAGAATGGAATAGAATCTTCATTATTGCTTTTGAGGAAATGGCACCTGATGGTGGGATAAGGCTCAACAAGTTGCTGATTATTTGGTGATGTTTTGTTTTGTTACATATTGTGTATTTTACCTTCATTATGAAATTAAAAGGCTTTGATGGGAGTGACATGGAAACTTAACAAATAAATAAATGCAGCTGTGTAGATAGAAAGGCAGGGAGCAATACTTTGTTTGGAGTTCATCTGCGTCAGCCACACAACATTATGAAGCCCAGGGCACAGAATTGGGGAAAGGCTGCATTCAGCACTTTCACACTTTCACAAATTTGAGGTGCTCATTCAAACAGACTATGTGAAGAAAAGTTTCTTCATCACACTTGGATAAGCATCCATACTGGAGCAAGGAATGGCTTATGTTGAGGGGTCTTCATCAAACAATAAACTGTGTTTTTAAAACATTCTTTAAAACTCCAAGAAAACCATTGAGTGGTGGAGCTTGTATGTAAATGAATATGTATTGAAGGATCAGAAAAATAGAGCAAGAAATACAGTATATAGGACATCCCCAACTTTAAGAATTCATGATATAGGAATGGAGTTAAAAGCCATCTCAGTTTGATATAACAAGATGATGCTTTTTAAAATAGATTTGGAATGCCTCTTATTTAGAAAATTAATGTCCCTGTGGTGGTAAAGGATTTTATTGCTTTCCATTCTCCTAAAGTAGTGTAGGATAGTTTTCAAATAGGAGATGTCTCTAACCCTGCATGAAATAGAGTTCTGTGATAAAAAGGTAATTTTATTCTAATTCATCTGAAAATGGCCTTGTACAAATTATATTTTCTATGTTCATTTTAGAATATTTTAAAAGGCATAATGCATGGAGTTATATAAATACAATTTCTAACACGATGAAATGTACAAGACTGGAGAATGGGAAAGGATTGAATAAAAAAAAAACACAATTACCAAAACAGTTGACATGGAGTATTCATTCTGTTGATTCAAATGGCATTTTCCATCATTTGGAATAACTATTCCTGCTAATTTACTATCCATCCCAAAATGAGAATCAGCATCACTCACAAACACTAATAGATGTAATGAATCATTTCTCCAGCCAATTTTTTCCTGCAATAAAACATTAATAAGTTATGACAGGGAATATGAGATAAAGCAATATATACAATATTTTGGTTTCATGTAGAAGTATGAAATATGATTTATCTTATGATTAAAAACATGCCAAGGTCTACTCTATAAAAGAATGAAAATTAGTATTCAAAAGAACTATCGGAGACAAGCCACAAGACTTTTCTGCCTGAGGTGAAGTAATAAATACCACTCCTCAGTAAAACTGCAGAGCAATTAAAGTCAGCTATATTGTCTGCGTACTTGAGGTAGAGTATAATAAATTATATACAGAATCAGCAATTCAGAATATTATTTATTGGCTTCACAAGGCTGCCCAACTCCACAAGACACTGGGTAGCATATAGCTTTTAGAGAAAACAGTAAAAACACAATTCACATAATCTGCAAAAGGAATTCTTTAAACAGATGAAATCCTACAGGGAGCTTAACACTCACCCTAACCCAAGAGTTGGAGGAAAAACCAGGTTTTTAAACCCTTCTTGAACATTGTGAGGTATTTTCATATGGGATGTTCTGATCTAAGGTGAAGCTAGCAATTTAGCTAGTTCATTTATCTCAAATCAACATGAAACACAGATATAGTTTCTTTACCTTACAAACGACTGCCTGCATAATTGCATCAAATCCTCCTTCTGGAGTATCTAAATTTGCAGTGATTTTCTGCTTTTTCACAATTTCATTGAATCTTTCTGAGTCATTTGTCAATGAGAGAACATGCTTGTATCCAAATGTTGGCAAACAATCAAGTGCGTAATTTCTGTAAAGAAAAATGCTCATGTGTTTATAAACAACAATGAAGGTCACATTAAAAAGCTTTAGGGTTGAGGTGCATTTGGTATGGCCCTTTATTCTTTTCAGTATTCAGCAATATGATCTTCAGATGAATTATCGTTTATGATTGGTATCTCCCTGAAGATGTGTTCAGTACATTATAGCTGAGTGATGGGATTTTGAACCCACTGTTTCCAGGACCTCTGATTATATACCGATGCTCCAAAATAAAGCACAATTTACAGGACATTTGGTGAGGAGCATTACTTGCAGAAAAGCCACTATTTCCTAAAATAGCAACAGTATTTAGACTTATATACCGCTTCATAGTGCTTTACAGTCCTCTCTAAACAGTTTACAAATATGTCGTGCATCCTTGCCAGATCAGAAAGTGGAAGGTAGTTTCCTGTTTATTGAGATCAGTGAGAATATAATTAACCAGGATAATTCTATACTTGTAACTTTGTATTCCTATTGTAGCTTTGAGGATGTTGAGGAATTCAAGAATTCTTGTTAGTTCATAGATTCTGGAATGCCCCATCACATGTTCCACCAGTAACGTTTCACAGTGCCTCATGCAGTAGCCTGGTGCTACATGTGATAAGTTTTCAGTTGCCCTTTCAAGGAGCATAAATGAATAGCATGGACAAACTGAAATAAATAATATCCAAACTGGATTCTCTGGAATCTAGGCTAGAAACCATTCCCCACCATCCAGTTGGAATTGCAGAAGCTTCTTGGATGAGAAGCGAAACATCTTCAAGAAAAACAAGAAAGCCAAGTTGCCTCGTGAAAAAAGCACCCTTGGAAGGACCAGACTGATTAAAGTAGGACTAGAGAGCCCATAAGACCACTATATCTGATCCATCAAAGCTTTCTTCAATCCTGAAGTTTCGGAAAGGATGATGAAAGGTAGGTCTAGAGCAGTGGTGGCGAATCTATGGCATGTGTGCCAGAGACGGCACTCAGAGGCCTCTCTGTGGGCACACGCAACATTGCTCCAGCCCCACCTCCCCCCACGCCCCCCTCCTCACCAGCAGCCCCCCTGGAGGAGAGTCACCTCCAGGTGCAGCCCACATAGAGCAGCGCAGCCAAGAACATGGCAGCCGGGCAGTAGGGACAAGACTCTGCTCTCACACTCTGTTGTGCACAGATGATGCTGTGGGGTGTGGGCAGAGGGATGGCTGCCACGGCACTGCAGGGCCACCTGAGCGATCTGTGGCGGGCCGTGGAGGTGGTGGGTGGCCCTGTAGGCGGGGTGCGGGGTGGTTTATTGGCACTCAGTCTCTAAAAGGTTCGCCATCACTGGTCTAGAGTGTTGCCTTGAAGAGAATTGATTTAGTATGCATTCTCTATGTGCATAAGATGGGGGGGGGGCAGGGTTCTGATTGCATGTGAAAGGCCTACTGGAGGTGACTTCTCACTTTCAGCAATCCCTGACCTGTTCCTATTTCTGTATTAAAACAATGAATTCATCAAACTGCATTTAAGGAGAAATATCTCACTTAAATTCAAATCATATTTCTAAAGAGTCAGAAGAAATGTTTGAACTTTTCTACTAACCGGCAAGGATTTTGTAGCTCTTCTGTCAGAATATTAATGAATGGTAAAACTGGTTTTTCAACAAAAGACCCAAAGCCCATCTGAAAACTACTTGCGAGCTTAGACATTTCTTTGGATAAGATAGACCCCAGTTCCTTAATGGTTTGCAGATCATCATTCATAGAAGCTGAAAGGTCCATGAGGTAGTAGAGATCAACTGGACAATCTTCAGTCTGACGGACATTGATCTGTATTGTTTCTTCATTTCCTTGTGGAGCCAAAGGGAAAACAGAAAACAAATCAAACAACTGTGGTTAAAAAGGGGAAGAGCAAGTACACGTATTGACTGGGCCTCTCTATTCTCTATGCTATATGATGTTATTCTGTGACAAAGAATATCTCAGCAGTAGAATTAACTCTTTTAATAATTAATTGTCTGATATGGATAGTGAAAAACAACTGCAAAATATAATGGAAAAATATGCTTTATGGACAGACTACAACAAGAAACAACAAAGTAAAAGTTGGAATGACTAGTTCAAGGTTAAAAAAAACAACAACCCTGTTTTTCCCATCTCATTGGCCTGGAAAGCTTCATTCCTCTAGATTGAAGCATCAGAAGTTTTGTTTTGTTACTGATATTTTTCTTCTAGTTTTGAAAAGGGGTGGAGCCACTTTTCAGCAAACCTAAACTAAGCACTGTACAATGCTTTGAAGCTTTGCATCCTCATATGCCATTCACTCTGTGTACAGTATTCATTCATTCATTCATTCATTATTCATTCTGGAAGTTCCCAGAAAATTCTACCCAGCCTAATGCTATTGTGCCAAAACAGTTCTGTGAAGCATGGCATAAAGCCTGTGGCAGTCAATGCACATAAAAAGGAAAAAGAAAAGAAACTGGGAACACACCTTTCAGTAAAGGTTGGGCCACCCGATATCACATATCTACTCCTTTGAAAATATTTACACTTCTGATTGTCACAGAACTGTATTTGATCTAATACTGTATGTTATTGGCAAAGTCCAATGCTACTAACTATTGTTACACAATAATCTTTGTAGCATTTCTTATCTGTCATGCACCTCACCATGACAACACTTGAGTGAAAGCAGTGTATACATACTTCTAGGCCCGAGGGCCCCATATGAATTTTGAGCAACCTTCACTCATCTGCGATGGGCTGTGATGACCCAACTTGCTGATAGGCCACATGCGAAAAAGTAACAGTTGAGGCCAGAACAAAAATTTAATGTTACATTTAATTTCAAACTATTTAGTGTATTTCATTTAAATATTAATGTACGTGTGATTCATTAATATTACATTAGAATACAATATAGATGTATATGTTTAATGTTAAACTAGTTAAATATTACCTTTGTACTCCCTAAATTCATATACTAATATAAATCATATTGAAAACTATTTTCTGGTCATGATTTCCTCCCGTAGCACATACAAAATTACACTGTGGTAATGGCTGGAATGGAGCTGGTAGGGAACTCAGCAACCATCTTTGTTTTATCAAATTTACATCTTGTTCTATGTTCCTTTTTATTCCCACTGGCTCTCAGTGCTCTGAGGCTCCCATACTCAGTTTGCCTTATGGTCAAACCTCTCAAACTACCATCAGGATTAGAAATCATCAATCCAAAGAATAAGGACCCATGACCTCAGATTAGCAAGATTTCTTAGGAGTTGGAGTAACAACTCAAGGATTCCAGTGAATAACTTTACTTTCAAATAATTAATCCATATATCCTGTTCAAGAGAGCTAGTTTGCTGTAGTGTTTGAATGCACTGGCTAGAAACTGGGAGGCCATGAGTTCTAGTCCTACCTTGGGGCATAAAGCCAGCTGGGTGACCTTGGGCCAGACATTCTTTCGCAGTCTTAGAAAGAAGGCTATTTATTTATTTGTCTGTCTGGTCTGTCTGTCTGTCTGTCTGTCTGTCTGTCTGTCTGTCTATCTATCTATCTATCTATCTATCTATCTATCTATCTATCTATCTATCTATCTATCTATCTATCGAGTCCTTAACAGCCCATTTCCCTCATATCTGGATATTATGGTGCTTAAGGACCATTCTCATTTATGATGGTCACAGAACGGGTGCTTTATAGCCCATAAAATACCCCCTCCTGACTGTCACAAATGGTTGTATCACTCCCCCCCCCATTCCCCATGGTTCACACGACCACATGTTGGGTATTAAGCAGCATGGGCAGTTATGTGTGTTCCAAGAACTGCGTATGCTATACCTCTGATCCATGAGCTGTATTGGTTGACAGTTTTCTTCTGGGTCAAATTCAAGGTGCACTTTTATTTTATTTTTTGAAAATGATTTAATGAGATTGAGTAATGTTGGCAAAGTTCAAGAACATCACTTATTGAGGAATTATTTGAAAAGACAGAGAGTCTCTTTTGGAGAAAAACATTAGTAAATTGTTTCTGCTTTCACCAATTACTATTTCCCCTGCTACAAACCTGTATATTTTTCAAATCTATTCATCAAATGTGTTGCAATCATAGCTAAACAAATACACCTGTCTGGACTGAAGTAGCATTATAATATGTTCAAATGATAGATCTTTGCTTGTAAGTTATGATGGATTCTATTGTTCTGTGCCATATTAATATTGCAGCAGGAAAAAAAGGAAATTGCTGAAGCTATTGTAAACAAAATATTAACTTTACAGAAATGGTTCTGTGTCTCATACAGCCTCAGGTGTCCTTTTATTACTTGATTAAAAAAATCCCAAGGTGTTTATTCAGAAATAGATTTCTTAAGTTGAACAAAGCTTACTCTCTAGTAAATGAATTCAGATATCTCCTTTCAAATCATTACTGTATTTTTATAACCCAAATTGTGCATTGACTTTATTGCCATAGCTTTTTTTTTTGAAAATTTTTAGAAGTTTTTACAAAAAACAAAAAAGACAACAACAAAAAAAACAAAACAACCCTCACCCAACCCCTCCAAAACCACCCCCTCCATCCCCCCCCCCGAGCTTCCCAGAGCTTCCCATGGCTTAATTAAAATTTTAAAAATCCTAAAAAAAAGTTAAACAACTTATAAAATAATTAACAATAAGATATATATAACAAAAAAGACATAGGCATTAAAAAGAAAAAGTGCTTAAAAAAGAAGAAAAAAGAAAGAAGAAAAGAGATAAAAAAAGGAAAAAAAGAAAAGCCATAGCTTTTTATAAACTCTTACAATTCTTCAAGATGGAAAATAATAAATAAATAATAAATAAATAACCGGACTATTTTTTAAAAAAGTTTTATAGTTATGATGATGTAACTTACCTGGCCGTAGGAAAACAGTTATCTTTTGAGGAGAAATCTGAGTAACTTCTGAACCATTTATTTGTGGCCCACCACTCAACTGCTTGTTTTCATGGATCTCTACTTTGGAAATGGGAAATTCAATTAAATTCAGCTGGCATCCTTCTGAAATAAGCTTTTCAAGAGTGTCACACCTTTTATGAATTCCAGATGGATCAGTAAAATTCTATAAAGGAGTGGAAGAACAAAAAAACCCCCAAGTAAAATACAAAATAGGTTAATTAAGTCGATGGCTCTAATTATAAAGAGAATAAAATAATGCTTTTTCCATGAGATGTGTCACGTTAGATGTGTATGTACTTGAGAGCATGGGGCAAATAGTGTTGAGATGGATCATGTTGAAATTAGCTTAATCTATAAATTTGTATATGGGTAGTCCTTTGACGTACGACCGCAATTGAGCCCAAAATTTCTGTTGCTAAGTGAGACATTTGTTAAGTGAGTTTTGCCACGTTTTATGACCTTTCTTGCCATGGTTGTTAAGTGAATCACTACAGTTGTTAGGTTAGTAACACAGTTGTTAAGTAAATCTGGATTCCATATTGACTTAACTTGCAAAAGGTGATGACAAGTCCCCGGGACCCTGTAACTATCATAAATATGAATCAGTTGCCAAACATCTGAATTCTGATCACGTGCAGTCGTAAGTGTAAAAAACAGTTACAAGTCACTTTCTTCTGTGCTGTTGTAACTTTGAACAGTCACTAAATGAACCATTGTAAGTCAAGAACCACATGTAACTTTAAATTGCCTTTCTCTATTAATAATGAGATGTGTGCTTGCAGAACAAAGAAATAATTCTTGTGATGTGCATACATTGCATGATATTTCATCACTATGTTTTGGGACTTCCTTTGGATTTCCCCTCCTCTGTAGATATAATGGGATGTGGGAATGACCTTGGCGGATAGGGGATGGAGCGGGGGCAGGGCAATAGTAGGATAAGAGTCTGCAAAAGAAGTCTGTGCGTGGCAAACATCCTAGTAAAGATGAAGGAGGAGAAATGTAATTTCAGATTTGCCAAATTCTGTTAATGTATCCTTATAATAAAGTAGAATTAGTTTGAAAAAAAGAAAAAAATGGGATTTATGGATTTAATGTTTATAAAGGGTAGATTTTGGGAAAAAGAAAATTATGAAGTAACACACACACACACACAGAGAGAGAGAGAGAGAAAGAATAAAATATAAATATACTTAAAACTGCTGTTAAGAAGATTGAAAGCCACTTCTTCATTACCTTTTCATTTTTTCCCCATATTTTTCTTTTCTACTTCTTTTACCTCTTTTTTTATTTATTCATCAAACAAATTGATGTGGCCATCCAACTCACACACAAGTGACTTTGCGTGGCTTACAATACTAAATTTTTTTCACTTTCTTATCACTTTTACCTATTCTCTCTCTATTCAGTTCAAAAGTATTGTTTTTATTTTGTTGAATTTTTTTTAAATAAAAATGATAACAAATGAACAAACTATAAAGTAGAATTAACCTATTTTGTCATGCTTTCTGCCTGCATGCCTTGCTAAGCTGACCACAGATCAAATCAGATATCCTCTTGACTATTCAGGGGCTTCTAATGACATTAAGTTACATAATAGGGTGCATGGAAAGTTTCTGTGTTTCTTAAAAGTAATTTATTTCTTTTCCATATTCTACCAATAATATAATGGAATTATTTCAAATCATTTTGGAAAAGTATATGTTAGATCAAATATATTGCAGAATAGAAATTCATTTCGGATCCAAGGGCAATTTCTTGAATGATTCAGCAGAGAATTCCAACATACTGTTGGTTGGGTATCTTTCATTAATAAAGATGACTTTGTTCAGACAAAAATGATAAATACTCCATTTATCATAGAATGGCTAAATAGAAAAACTGTAATTTCTAGTTTAGAAATAATATTCCCACTTTAACATTTTGCATTAAAGCTCATAAAGCATATATGTTTCTGGAGTCTTTTTAGGTAATCCTGGCTAGTGTTTCCATATTTAAATCATTTGGGTCTATATTTGAAATATGGAACAGAATGTCCAAAGTATTCATCTGTGTACATTTTTAGAAATGATGCCACAAATAAGCTGGAGGAAACTAGTGTCTCACTCGCTTGTCTTTTCCTGAAAACCCATGGAATCAACCCTGTAATGTAATTTTTTCCTTAAAAAAGCAACAATGCCTTTCCACAGGAATCTTTGTACAGTAAAAACTTATGATGACCTACAATAAAAAGAACAAGAACAACATTCTGGCTTCTGATTAACAGTTCCACTTGATTTGAAATCTGAGGGCTGTTACTTACACCTGCTCTAATGTGGCCATTCTTTGTCCCTGCACTCACAGAAATATGTCAACTTACTGTGCACCACCTCATTGCTGTATTCTATTCTGCCTGAAAAACAGGCCTGACAGTGGTTACATAGTCCAAATGCAGGACAAGTAAAGGAAAGTGATTGGCGGATTCACCTGGCTCTACTCTCCCATTGGGTATCTCCTGGAGGTGGGGAAATATCTGCCAATTGCTCGCTTAATCTGAATGGACTGGGACTAAGGAGGAAATATTCCACATCCACCTATTTTCTTTGGTAAGCAGAGTCTGTCAATATCGCTGTGTGGATGAAGGGCATGATTATTATTACTGGTTTGGTACAAGTTTTCTTGTACAAGCAAAATATTGTAGTGTTCTGGAAGAACACTACTACATCCATGTCCAAAAGTAGTCCAACTATCAGCTCATATCAGATAATCAGATGCCTTTTGAAAGCATGCACACATCATGATAACACTAACCTTGATGTTTTGTTTGTATGTCCTTCTGGGGACAGATGAAGGTTAGTTCCCCCCTCTCTGATATTTTCCTACTAGGGCTGACATCCATCTATGAGCTTTCTTGGAAGTAAGCTATTTTAAGATCCATGGAGGACAGGTTTCAGCGGTGGAAACATGCCTCAGGCTACACAATCACAACATGGGCAGGCAAAATGTTTTTCCTAGGCAAACAATGCAAGCCTTTGCATGCCTACTGTGGAATGAACCAAAACCAAGGATCCAAGCACTACACAAAATTCAGTGAAGGATTTTTAATGCTATCCTGGGAAGGTTATCTATGGAGCTGCTAACAGTTAACACCAACTTGATGGCATATAATCAACGTTTTAATGATAATGATAGTCTAGGGAGATACAGAATCTTGAAAACTTGAAGAGGAATTTCCCAACCCCATTTATTTTGAGTTAATTAAGAAAGAGTCTCTCAGAATGATAAGCTATCATCTGACTTGCCTGCAGTTTCTTGTTTGTTTTGTCACCTGTCTGCTCCATTCCTTTCTCAGCCGCCCCATAATCTCTCATACTGAATGTGCTTCTTCCTTAATCCCCAGGTGCATCTGTGGATGCCAAGGTCTCTGGCAACCTCTATTAAAATGGGAGGCAATATCAAGCAATCAGAACAGAGACAGTATGCCTATAAACCCTTCAAATGCCATCTCCATTCCTGTCAAGGAACCATCCCAGATCATTCACGTAAACTTGTGTTTGAAGAAGAGGGAAATTGCCCCTTCCAAACTGGAACGGCTACATTTGAATGTATATTATCTGCACAGTAGGTTGCAGAAGAGACAAAGCCAATGCCAGGAGGACATATCATGTCCTTTAAAAATGATTAGTGAGGCATCTTTAAGATGCAGTTAGCAAGGTGTGAGGATAAGCCCTAAGAAAATCACATTAATCCCATGGGGTCAGTGGTGAGATTCAAATATGTAAACAATTGGTTCTCTGTGTGGATGCCACTTCCAGAAGTCCATTCTGGGCTTGGGCAACAAAAATTAGCTAGAGGTTCTGCCGAAGTGGTGCGAACTGGCTGAATCCCACCACTGCATGGGGTTCTAGTCCTGCCTTAGGCACAAAGCCAACTGGGTAACCTTGGGCCAGTCACTCTCTCTCAGCCCTAGGAAAGAGGCAAGGGCAAATGATTTCTGAAAACCTTGTAAAGAAAACTGCAAGGATTTGTCCAGGCAGTCACCACAAGTTAACACTGACTCCAAGGCAAACACACACAGACAGACACACAGACAAACACACATTCACAAAATCCTTAGGTTTCTTTCTTGAAAAGGGGAACTGAAAAACTATCCCAACATGCTTAGTTACATTTATAGCATTAAGATTGGCCTTGGCTATGGATCAGAGGAAAAAAAACACCAGTTGCTCCGCTGAGAAAGCACAGTGTATAATTATATGAATAGAATATAAATATACCTTTACCAAGCTTACTTTGTCAACATGATTTCTTTTAAATCAAGATTGCCATTGCTTCTATTCATACTAAAAGCAAAATTGTTTCTGAATTTATTCAAAATGGAAGTTGCCCTTTACTTTTAGAAATCAGACTTTCAAAAAGGCGTCAGACCAAATTATCTACTGTTGGACTTCCAGGGAAGAAATAGAGAAGTGAGGACAGTTCTGCTAAAAGCACAGCCAAAGACAACAGCGGAATTGAGAGCCAGCAAATACAGCAGCTCTTTATAATTCCTCTCTGAACAAGGAGAGGACTTAAGATTACCCACAATTGCTCCGAACAATTGTTTCTTGCAAAGACATTGCAACATAGCAGTCTCCTGCAGGGTTAGCGTTCTCAGAGATGAGAGAATAGCCATATTTTTGCTGAAACCATGGTCAGAACTTTCAAAAGAACACTTGGTTCACATATTTCCTTTTCACTTTTGGAAATAGCAATAGCAGTTAGGCTTATATACTGCCCCATAGTGCTTTATATCACTCTCTGGGTGGTTTACAATGAAGAAGCATTCTTTCCATGTTGCCCTCAACAATCTGGGTCCTCATTTTATCAACCTCGGAAGGATGGAGAGCAGAGTCAGCCTTGAATTGATAGAATCAAACTCCAAGCTGTGGGCAGAGTTTGCCTGCAATACTGCACTTTAATCATTGTGCCATCAGAGCTCTAAATGACATTAACTGGTTTTCAGCTATTAAGAATCTTTGGAAGGACAAATTTTACAGATCTATCAGAGTTTCTTTCAATCCTTAGCAAAATAAATTTTAAATTCAAGTTTAAGGACTTTTTTTTTTTTTTGGAATAAACAGGGTGATTAGAACTTTAATCGTAGAAAGCTACAAATGGACTAGGGGTCCATATGAATTTGAAATAAGACTTTGGAATTAATTATAACAATTCTTCCTATGGGAAAACGCTTTTATTTTGAATTCTCTTTTTTAAAAAAATGATAGGATGAGACTAAAGGTTGGAGACTAGAAGGAACCAGAAGGAACTAAGTAAATAAATAAATAAAGGGGTCTTCAAACTTGGCCCTTTTATGACTTGTGGGCTTGAACTCTCAGAGAATTCCTCAGCTAGGCACTCTGGCTGAGGAATTCTGGGAGTTCAAGCCCACAAGTCATAAAAGGGCCAAGTTTGAAGACCCCTGATTTAGAGCTAAGAGATGAGATATGGCATGGGGCCAGGTTACCTATGGAACTGTCTTCCTCTCATTACATCAGTCTATTCCACCTGGTCAGGCAAGGAAAGTAAGTTGTGGACCCCATCAGCCAAAGAATTCCGAGTGCAGGAAGAGAGACTTCTCTGTGGTTGGTTTTGTTGGCCATGCCACATTAGAGAAAACAGATCTCCATATAGACCAGCAGGTCATCTTGCCATAGAGGTAGTTTTTGACTTATGACCATTCGTTTAACAACCATTTCAAGTTAGGACGGCCCTGACAAAAGTGACTTATGACTGGTCCTTACAATTATGACCTTTGCAGCATCTCTACAATCACAGCGATCCTAATTCATCCAATTTATTTCCTCATCATTGAAGTTCCTGATTTTTTTCCCCCCTCAAAAGCAAACTGTATAAGCAGAGTTTTCTATAACCAACTGTTAGTTTCTTTCACAGGGCCAAGTTTGGGATTTACCAAAACAGCAACAAATGCCAAATAATGGAATGTGGAAACAGGACCAAGCATGATTTCTTCACTTGAAAATTTCTGAATATAAGAAAAAGTTTTACTGCTTTCTGTGAGTGCAATAAAGATTGTGTAAACATTAAGTCATACGGTTACTTAGAAACAGCCAACCCAAAGCTACTAATTTTCTACAGTTTTGAGCATGCACAATTTCACACAGAAGCTGGTGTCTGGCACCATATTTATATTTCACTTGCGAAGCAAAGGAGGTGCTACAGTCTTGCTATATGAAACATATTCCGTTCTCTATGATTTGGGTTCAGGAGAATCCGGCTCATGCTTGAATCGCTAGGTCAGCTGAACTGAGCCAGAAATTTCTAGTCTCTTTACTGGCAGAGACAGATTTGAAAATATTAGACAATTTCCAGGCTACAGTTAATAAATCTTTAAATGAGACAACTGTTTCAATGTGTGTCTCCTCGCTGGCCAGGTAATTAGATTTATTTCTTCTCATTCCTTGTTGCATATTTTAAGGGATGCAAGATAAGATTCAGAATATTATCTGTCCAAGAAAGATGTTCCTTGGTAGTACATCTTTTTTGGCTGTTATGTAAATTCTCTGTACACTAGTTTTTGCCCCTATTATACCCTCTGTGTTTACATTGTCTCTATTTCTTCCATAAGATTCGTCTTTGCCCCAAACTTGTTAATTATACATATGAACAATCCTTTGGAAAGTGTACTTGAAGATGATTAATGAGCCTGGTTAATAATCCTTAAAGCCCATCAATATGGAATTCAGGATTGCTTTTCTTAAGCAGCTGCTAAGTCACGAATTAAAATTTTTGTTAAATGGAAAGTTGTATAAAAAGCTTCTAACATTGCTTAGAAATCAGAGTTAGGGCCTAGAGATTAAAACGAAAAGGAAGTAACGGATATGCTACTTTCAACTGATTCTAAAGTAGGTATTTTGACCCACTCTTTGAATTACTTTTCTTCTAAAGAATGTGGTTTGGAGCAGAGAATTCAGAATATGAATAGTATATTATTTAACAAACACATAATTTGTAATTGCATCAAGTCATTATTTTTGTGTGTTTGAAATAATTCACCTCTTGGAAACACCAGCGGCAGCTTGGTCCAGAAAGCAAACAATCTTCACAGTTCATGGCACTCCCTGAATCACAATTTCCTACATGGCAAATCAAGGAAATGTATTAGATTAGCTCATACTTTAATTATGTCAGGTACATAACGTTCTGGGCAGCATTCTGATTTCCTTGAAGATGGTTTGTCAGAGAATCCAGTTTTACTTGTTTGTTTGAAAAGCCCTTAGTTATTTGCAAAAGAGATGGAAACGATCGTTAACATTTCAATAAGAAATAAACCTTGTGGAGCAATAGTTTTAATTGGAATCAGTGTCCTGCTTTATTCAAGAGGATAATTAGGATAAAGCAGCTGTTAATATTATTTTACATTAATCCTTGACCTGGTCTGTCCACCTGACAGTGAATCATTCTTCATGAAATCAGATCAAAGTCCTTGAAAAAACATTTTTTTTTGCTATATTTCTTCAAGATATATTATAATTATAGAGATCAGATCCAGATTCACAAAATCACACAAAACTCATGTGAACAAATAAACACTCTTAAGTTTGCATTCCATATATAAAATGAGCCTTACCTTGTACATTTCTATTCCTTTGTAGAAATAGGAAAAAAAGGCAGAGCAATTCAATCCCCATTCGCTTTCAGTTCTGGCTGCAGGCACAAAATATATCAAACATTAATTAAGCTCAGTGAAAAGTTCGGAAGCCGTTAATGTACAGCTGAAGGTTTTCAAACTATGGAGGTTTTCGAAGAATGTAACAGAAGGCTACATGGGTGTAAAGAAAACAAAACAAAACAAACCCTGGTACCTAAGCAGGTAGCCTGATAGATAGGTAAGCAGCATGGTTATGGAACTTAGCACAGTCCTCTTACTTCCTGGTTTGCCTTATAAGGAAGAGATAGGCAGCGAAAGGTGGAACAGTTCTCACAGGTGAAGTCCTGAACGTTTTCATTTTTTTTTAAAAGATCAAAGATTCATTTTACAGAACTCTGAAAGGAACGTATTTGCTGCACATTGTAAATATTGGAATATAATGCACTTAATTTTCTTACATAGGCTTACTGGTTTTTTAAAGCTTAATACATTAGCCGAGCTCTCTAATTTCTTAGCTGAACACCATTCTAGGGATTTTATTTCGAAAAGGAATCTATACACAATCCTTATCTGCAATACGGATTTTAAAACGTAAATTATAAAATCCTATTGAGTTTTGTGTTATTTGCACATTGGGTAGCCTTCATTGTCAAAGTCCACAAAAACGTGGAAAAATGCCAAAGCTAGGACCGAACGTTGTAAAAACAAGAACAATAGAAAAATAAAAATCACAAGCCATACATATCCTTAATCAAGTGGCTTTGTACACTTAACTTAGCACCAGTGGTGAGATTCAGCCGGTTTGCACCACTTCGGCAGAACTGGGAACTAATTTTTTGTTGCCCAGGCCCAGAATGGACTTCCGGAAGCAGCATCCACACAGAGAACCGGTTGTTCCCATATTTGAATCCCACCACTGCTTAGAACCCATCATGATCCAAGGCCTGGTGGAAGAGCCAGGTTTCTAGAGGCTTCTTGAACATCATCTGGGTGGGAGTCATGTCAATCTCTGGGCTAGATCCTGTCCCAGAGGACATGCATCTCAGCAGAGAAACCATGTTTTGTGGGAGCCAAAGACAATATTATTTATTCAAAAAGTCCTGGAGCATATCTTCTTTCCCCGATCATGCAAACAGGCAACTGGAGACAGGCAGTTCTGCGGAACCAGATCCTATGCCATGACTGTAACAAGCACTTTGAATTGTACTGGAAGCCAAAAGGCAACACAAGCAGCTTGTGGAGCAGTGGTGGCACATAGGCCTTGTGAGACATGCCCATGACTGCTTGTGTTGCTGCAGCTGGACTACAGCTGTAGCATCCACATGGACTCAGGGGTAGCCCCATGTAGAGTGCATTGCACAAAAGATAAGGGGGTGCGTGGCCATTGTGACAGCTTCCTAGAAGCTTTTCTTTCCCAGCTTTGCAACTTTGTTAGGTTGTATTCATTCTTCCTTGCAAGAAAGCATATTTCCAGCCAGATTCCAGCGAGATGGCAATGGGATTGGGCTGGTGTTCAGTAGGGACTATCGCCACTGAGCATTGGGTGTGTTTCTCTGCCCTTTGCCTTCCTATCCATATAGGGAAATCAAACCTTGTTGGCTAGCACCTGTGCAGCTTTGTACAGTCTACCAGTACAGTATCTTCTTTTAGAGATTTTCACTAGTCTTTGTGCTTTTCCTTTTATTCCCATGATTTTGCCCATAGAAATGTCTTAGCAATCTCCTTTGATATTCCCTAATGCAGACCCTTTCTATTGTTTCTCCCACCTCACCCCACCCCTAGCATCACTTGGCTCCAGTGTGACAGGAATCAAAGCCATAGGAACCAGGTGGTTTGCTCATTCCTACATTCCCCTCTAAGTCCCTGGGAGCTTTCTAGCAAGGACAACTGGTAGAAGGCATATAATAATAATAATAATAATAATAATAATAATAATAATAATAGTGATGTTGAAGGGACCTTGGAGGTCATCGAATCCAACCCCCTGCTCAGGCAGGAACCCTACACCATTTCGGACATTTCGGTACATCACCTTCACAGAAGCAAAGTGGCAGCCTTCCTGTGTTGCAGCTGAAATGTCTTTTTTTTAAGATAGGAAAGAGAAAAAAAAAACACAGAATAGTGATCAGGGAGTTAAGAGAGCAAGGAAAGCATGCTTTACCCAAAACTCCCTAGAAACTGAAGATATTCCCCCTGGGGGATATCAGGGCTAATTGAAGCACAGATCTCCAGGACTGAGGATGTGAGCCATTGCTGATTCAATTGCAAGATTTAAAACATTGCAGAGCACATAGTGGTCTGCACAACCCAGGATGAAATGGCTGCGCAGGAGAGTTACTGGCCATTAGCAGAATAACAGAGTTAGAAGGGATCTTGGAGGTCTTCTAATCCAACCCCCTGCGCAAACAGGAGACCCTATACCATTTCAGACAAATGGCTGTCCAATTTCTTCTTGAAACTCTCCAGTGATGGAGCACACACAACTGCTGGAGACAAGCCTAATCCAAACTTGGGCTACTATTAAATGAAACAAAGCCCTGGAAATACCCTACAGAATGGAACAATAGCAGTTTTGAATGGGAGCTAGAAACCACAAAGGAAGGACGGATTTGCAGTGCATTGGGAGAGGAAGGAGGAGATTGTCAAGAGTGGCTCATACTGGTGAAGGATCAAGCAGAAAATATCTAGATCTATGAAAATATGTTATAAACAAAGCTCTTAAAAACAGCTTTACTTCTAAATAAACACCTGTGCTGATCAGCATGAATGAGTCATACAATGAGTCCATCTTACCCAGTTAGTATTATTAAATGGCAGGGTCTCCAAAATCTCAGCCTTTTTTTTTTATGTCTTTGCCTATAGAGGCCAAAGATTGAACTTGATTTTCAACTTCTAAATAACCTACTCAACTTTTGAGTTATATATAGCCCCTCATACATCTCATGACTGATCCTCTAGCATACACTACATATTTTTAAACCTATCCAGAAGTGAATCCAGTAATTTGTCTTGGATCTAAAGGATCACATTATTCTGAAAGCTCCTTGATCTCTAAACAATTATTTTGTCACATTTCTGTTTTAAAGTTAAAGTTATTCATATCATATTAAACTTGTTTTCCCATAATATTGCTCTTGACTCACCCATTGAGGCCTGAATAAATAAAAGACTGGAGTCCATTGGAGGAAGTGGCTCTTCATGCTTTAACAGGCTGAAGGCATCTGACTTTATAGACTGAGTAGGCATGAGTCGAGGATCAGTGTCATGATAAGACTCATAGCTTACATAGCTTTACTGTGAAAGTCCCTTCAAAGCGTCATCCATCAGTTTTTGATCATTCATTATTCATCACTGATTATATTTGCAGTCTATCATATACCCCAAGCCACAATAATTCCTAGGCAATTCATAATAAAACAAATATTCTGGACAAATAACAACATGATCAAACAAACTTTTGCTTGTCCATAAGCTTTCTCTTCTCCTTTTCCCATTTCAGCTCCTCCCAGAAATATGAGGGGTCACACTTTAGGTCCAAAGTGAAGAATGAACCAACTGTTCTTTATTTCTCTATGAGAAGCGGAAGACACTAAATAAATTAACATAACCTTATTTTATGTATCTATTGTTTTATACACCACATTTCTTCCAAGTCAAGGTGATGCTTGCAAACTTTTCCTCTCCATTCATTTTATTTTTGCAGGTAAGTTAAGGAAATGAGGAGATGATAAACCACCTGGGAAAGCCAAGGGAAATCATCAAAACAATTAAAAAACGACAATTAGAATGTTTCGGACATGTGATGCGTCACCCAGAAAAATACAGCATACTCCATTTAATCCTCCAAGGAAAGATTGAAGGCAAATGAGGTCCAGGCAGAAGAAGAACATCATGGCTTCAAAATCTAAGGGACTGGTTTGGGCAAAACTCAGCAGCACTTTTTCGTGCGGCTGCTGATAAAAACAGGATCGCCAACATGATCGCCAACGTCCGATAACGGATATGGCACAAGAAGAAGAAGAAGAAGGTAAGTTAAACTGAAAAATAAATTAGTAGTTCCAGGTTATCCAAAGGTCTGGGGGAGGGGGGAATTTGAACCTGACTTTCTGAGGTTCTCTGCAACACTGTTCATACAAATGATACAATTTATTGAATGATATACCAGCCCTATTGTTTCATTCAAAACAAAGGTTAGACTGGTAGGGATGTGAAACAGGGCCTTCTCTGTTGTAACCCCTTTTGTAGAACACCCTTCCCTAAATCATATCACCAACATTCAGTGGTAAAATTGGCCATTTCAATTAATATGGTAGTATGTTAAGGAAATGGGTATGGTTTTTTTTCATGTTTACCATGTCATGTTACTTCAAACTAAAATAAAAACTGCACCACTATATTTCCCTCCAAATTTTGGTGGCATGAATTTAATGATATTGGAGGACAATAAGGAGAGTGTACTGGGAGTTTGACTTAGTTTTATGTCAATTAAATGAAACTATTTTAAATTAATTAATCATTTTTAATTAACAAGAAATAAGATTCTCTAGTTAGTGGCGAATAAACCCTAGGAACAATGAAGTCTACTGCTTAGGTTAATTCTCCATCTAGGAGGATGGGCTCTTAGGATGGACTAATAAACTTAGCATTCCAGTTGCTTCCAATAGCAGATTGTCACATTAGATTTTCCATCTATTACTGCACTCCTCACAAGATCTGTTGTGCCACAGCAAAAAAAAAATCACTAATAACTTCTTCAAATATGTATCTATTTTCTTATCAAATGTAAAATTTGAGTGAGGGATCTGTTAGTTCAGGGATGGGGATAGGGGCTCCTCCAGACATTGTTAAACCTATCATTGTTAACACATCCTCCAGACAGTTGTCATCATCATTGTCAACATGACCATTGATGAGAGAGGTCCATTTGAATATAATCTGGAAAGAATGAATGCCTGTAGATTATGTTCCTACTAAAGATACAAGTTGGGGGGGGGGTTCTAACAAAAATCAGACAGTGTGCTGATTAAAAAAGAGATGAGCTAAAAGGGAGAATTTT